GGCCTTGCGCAGGTTGAAGATCTCCAGCGACTGCTCGGCCAGGCGCCCCACCCGCTGCCGCGCGCTGGTCTGCCCCGGCGCGGTCTCCGGCTCCTCCTCTCGCCACAGCGGCACGCCCTCGGCGGCCGCGGCGGCATCGTGCCGCACCACGCCCGCCTTCTTGCCCTCTTCCTCGCGGGCCTCCTCCCCCCGGTCTCCATTACTCCCCTCACTCTCCCCCCTTCCTTCATCTGCCGGGCGCGCAGGCCCCGCCGGGCCGGTGCGCGTGGCATGGCCGTCCAGGTCCAGCCCCCTGCCCGACTCCCCGCCCACGCCCGGGGTCGCGGCGACGCGCGCCTGCGCGGCGGTGAACCCCACCTGGTCGCTACGGTGCTTGCGCTCACGCCGCCCCGTCCGCGGCACGGTGACCACCAGGTCCCGGGGCTGGGACAGGTCCAGGTCCGCCAGCGCCAGCTCCACGCGGCCCACCTCGTCGTCGGCGCGCAGCGCGTCGGCGTCCAGCAGGATGAGGCGCAGCGACTGGTGCGCCACATCGTGCACCGTCATGCGGAAGGTCTCGTTCCAGCGCGGGTGGCGCGTGCGCGCCTTCACACTCGTGTTCAGCTTGGTGCCCTCTGCCACCCACAGCTTGACGAAGGGGTCGGCGCCGCCGATGAGGTCCATGCGCGGCACGCCCGTGGCCTCCTTGATCACCACCGTCAGCAGGCCCTCGGGCAGCTCCGCCACGCTGTCGTCGGCGCCGGGGTCCAGCTTCACCACGAAGCCGTCGGGGTAGGTGAAGGGCTGCAGGACGGTGCCGGAGACGAAGCCGTTGATGAAGTGCTCCAGGCCGGGGATGAAGAGCGGGTTCACGCCGTAGCTGGACACCTGTGAGTGAGTGTGGACTTGGTGGTCGTCAGGGGGGATGACAATGAGACACCGGGGTCTTGGGCGGAGGAGGAGGTGCGCTGACCCTGCAAGCACCCACGATGGCAGCTATCACAGAGAGTTTGCAGCAGCTGGGCTGCAAGCCCGCTGGTGCAGGGACATCCGATCATCCCAGGCATCCCCACCACGAACATCACAGCATCCTGGTGCCCAAGATGCCTGTTCAACCCCTTCACCCCTGTCTCCCCCACCCCCACTCCATGACAGCTCATCCTCACACCTTGTAGCTGAAAACGGGGGTGCCCAGGAAGGAGACCTTGGCCGCCCCCACCACCGGGATCTCGTTCAGCAGGGGGCGCAGCTGGGTCCTCAGAGTCCCAGACACCACCAGGTCCTTGACAAACACCTGTGTGGGTGCGTGACAAGGGACAGAAAGTGAAACGAGTGGTGCATAGCAGGCTCGGGGGGGTGCTTGTCTGGTGCACTCTCACTGCAATGAGCCCGGCTTGGCGTCCAGGAAAACCTGGCAGCCTGTGCAGGCATGCCGAGGTAAGGGTGGGGATTCGACGTTGACATGCATATAGGTTCATCCTTTCCTTTGCAACCCCGCCCTCCCACACACACTGACCCTGACGATAGAGCGGCGGGTGATGAAGGCGGCCAGCTGCCCGATGATGGGCAGCCGGGCATTCTCCGGCAGCACTTGGATGTCCATCCTCACTGGCGGGGTGACAGAGGAAGTGAAGAGGGGTGTTGGGACCGGCCCTGCAGCGTCAGAGGCATAAAGAAGGGGCCCCAGCACGGGCCACACGGGAGAGGACGTGGGGCTAGGAACGCCCCAGACCTAGGTGTGGGCGACTTGCATAGACTACCGCAATGCCACTTTGCTCTGATGACTGCATCCCATGGCAAATACCAACCCTCACATCTCCCAAGCCGGTTGCAGGCTTTTGTCCACCACGCCATGCGCATGCAGCAATAAACTCGCCTTCCATCTTGGACGACCAGGTGAAGTGGAAGTCCACCATGACCCTGTCGGTGCAAGTATCCTCGTCCCGCGCATAGGCCCGGACCCCGGTGATCACCGGGGGCTGATTCCCCAGCGCCAGCCCCTTGACGGAGATGCCCGAGGAGGCCAGCCAGGCGGGGCGCCAGAAGGTGGTCCCATTCAGCAGCGGCTCCAGGTTGCCGTCCAGCACCGCCCACTTGGTGGCCGCGGCGTCAATCTGGGGCCAGAGACCCTTGAGCGCCACATTGGCCCACTCCATGCGTGACACGTCGGGGTAGGCCAGCCAGGCGGGCAGGTCGCCGCCGAAGAGGGAGGACAGGGTGGCGGGGGACAGGCCCTCGCGCGCCGCCTTGGCAAGACCCTCCAGCTTGGAGCGCAGGCTGCTGGAGCGCTGCAGCGTGACCCAGCCCGCCAGGAGGCAGGCCAGGCAAGCGACGGCGCCCAGCAGGAAGGCGGCACTGGGGCTGAGCCAGGGCGCAGGGTGGTGGGAGGCGGCGTGCATGGAGTGCAGCATCGCCGAGATGTCGGCGGTGGTGCATGCCTCCTTCAGGGCTGGCGGCAGGGAGGGCATCCTGGCTGCCTCCGCATGGCATGGTGGGGGCAGGGTGGGTGAGAGGTGCTTGGTTGTGCCGCTTGTGGGAAGGGAGGTTGCACGGGTGGTACTCGTGGATGGGCCCCCGGGAGGACTGGGGTGGGTACTCCCCAAGCCACATGCCAGGTGGACAGCGATGGGAGCGCCGGCGCGTGAGCATGCCGGCCCGGCCAGCACGCACATGCATACCCCACTGATCGATATCATCGAGATACGCAGAGGTGGTGGGTGAACTAGGTACCAACGCACCTGTCCAAGGACCTCGCTGGGCGTCACTGGGGTAGTACGTGCTCGGACTCCGAGGCTTCTAGCCGACGTGAATGGAGCGCCAGCAGCCCATGCCCAGGTCGTCTTTCTGATTGGTATATACACTGAGTAAGGACACAACCCAGATGGGTTCCGGCAGGGACAAGCGCAAGAAGGCCAAGGGAGGTGGCAAGCCGGGTGCAGGAGCCGAGAAGACCGCCCGCAAGTCCGAGCAGAACGAGGGAAAGGCAGTGCGCAGGCTGGAACGCAAGACGCAGGTGGGATGCCTGAGCTGCAAGTGACTCCCAACCAGATGGTCCTGGCTGTATACGGATCGGCTGTCTCCCGCGTTGTTGCCAGGGATGGGCTGCTGACTGCACGATCCGATGGAAGTTGGTCGGTACTCCGGAACTTCCCTGCAGCAGCCGGGAGGTTTTGTGCACCACTGTCCCACGTGGCCCCTGATACTCACGCCAGGGTAAGCGTTTCTTCCCTTGAAATTTCCCATCTGAACACCCTCATAGGGGGGTGAGGACGACATCGATGCCTTGCTGGCCAAGTTCAAGCTTGAGGATGCTGCAGCCACAGCCATTCGTGTGGAGCCGGGCGTGCGCCCATCTCCACGCGTCTATAGCACCTTCAACCTCCTACCCAGCCAGGTTTGAGGTGTTGAGCGGAGAGGCTTGAATGGGACGGCACAGCCAGGGGCATGTTTGGTCATTCCTCGACCGTGCCCCCCAGCAGCCGTCAGCAACCCCCGCCGTCACCCTGGCCCCAGCAGAAAGAGAATGAGCTGATCCTGTTTGGTGGGGAGTGGTACGACAGCGAGAAGGACAAGACCCATGTGTACGCCGACCTCTTCGTGCTGGATGTGGAAAAGGTGGCCTGGCGTCGCATCGTGTCGCCCAAGGGCCCCCTTCCTCGCAGCTCCCACCAGAGCGTGATGACCAAGTACCACATGTACGTGTTTGGCGGGGAGTTCACCAGCCTCAACCAAGAGAAGTTCCGCCACTACAAGTGGGTGCACTGGGGAGGATGGCGGGATTTGGGAGGGGGGAGGGTCATGGTGGGGTTCATTGAGCTTAGCAGCTGGGGTGTGCTTGGGGGTAGGATTGTCATTTTGTCCAAGGGGAACACCGACTAGCTCACACCAGGGCATATACTCTCTGTTTGGGTTCTGGAATGGTCCATCCAAGTCAGTGCCAGACACACAGCTCTGCCAGCTGTTGAGGGCATTGTATTTTGGGCTCTCAACCTAGCTTGTAACTCCGTATACAGTAGCCAATGTTTCATGCCTCATCGCACAGCCACCGACCCACCCCCTACCACCTGCCTGCCACGATCGCAGCGATCTCTGGCGCCTCAACCTGGCCGACTGGTCCTGGGAGCAGCTGCCCGGCAGGGGCGGCCCCAGCCCCCGGAGCGGGCACCGCATGGTGCTGCAGCGGAACCGCCTGCTGCTCTTTGGCGGGTTCTGGGACGCGGGGAAGGAGCCCAAGTATTACAACGACCTCTGGGCCTTCCACCTCACCGACCTGCAGTGGGAGTGCCTGGGTCCCACCACGCAGACCGGCTCCAGCTGGCCCAGCCCGCGCGGGGGCTGCCAGCTGGCAGTCCACGGCGAGCTCCTTTTCGTCTTCGGCGGCTACTCGGTCCTCCCCCCTCCTGGTGTGTGTTGTTGATGCAAGGTTGGCATGGGCATGATGAACATATCCCTTTGGGAGGAAGGTGCGTATGAGCATCACTCAACGACTCTGCTGTCCCAGGATTGCTCTGTGTCTGGTGCTGCTCCAACACCTGCACTCCAACCTCCGCGTGGCTGTGACGCAAGTGCCTGCTCGGGGACCCCTCTCGCTGGAAACCAGGCCTCATCAATAATCTCCCCCCTCCCCCCCTCCTTCCATCCATGCACCAGACAAGGACCCCGCCGCCAAGGCCGCCAAGCGCAAGTCGGCCGGTGACGACGACGACGAGGGTGGAAAGGGCGTCGTGCATGACGACGTGTGGTGCTACGACACCAAGTCCGGCGCCTGGGAGCGCGTGAGGAAGGCGGGCATGGCGCCCAGTGCCCGCACCGGCTTCGGCATGGCGCGGCACGGCCGCCGCGCCGTCTACTTCGGCGGAGTGGTGGACCAGGCCGGCGGCCGCGACCGCGTCTACTCCGAGCTCTTCAATGAGGCCTACCAGTTTGATCTGGAGACGCGGCGCTGGTTCCCCCTGGCCGTCCGCGCGCCGCGCGGGAAGAGGGCGGGCGCGGCTGCCGGCGGCGCCGACGGCGCGCCCGCCCTCGCGGACGGGAGCGCTCTCCAGGTCACGCCGGCGCAGCGGGCGCGGTTGGAGGCGGCGGCCACGTGCATCCAGGCCAGCTTCCGCGGATATGCAGTGCGCAAGGCCTACACCGCCTACAAGCTGGGCGGCGCGGTGTCGGAGCTGCTCTACTCCCCCGCGCTCTATGGCGTGGACGTCGGCGCGTCGGCCGACACGGTGAAGCCGCGCGCGCGGGCCGCCCCCCTCATGGCCGTGGCTCGCAACACGCTCTGGCTCCTGGGCGGCATGGTGGAGGTCAGGGCGCAACCCTGGGCAGGGGGGGATGGGGGAGCCGCGCCTATGTAGAGGGGCTTGGGGCTAGGGGGCTGGGGGCTGGGGGCGGGGCCGTGACATCATGCATGTGTCGCGACAGGGGAGTCCTATCCATGGCATGTGCTCGCCATGCGACTCTGACATGGCATCAATGCGTATGCTGCTCATCCTCGTTACCATGAGTCACACACCACAATCCACCACCCATCACAAACAGGTGGCGCACACGGATGTGGTGCTGGACGACGTGTGGAGCCTGGACCTCTCCAAGCTGGACGGGTGGACGTGCGTGCAGGAGAACACGGGCGGGGAGGAGCTGAAGGACCTCAGCGACTGGGAGTCCGACGAGGAGGACAGCGACTCGGAGGCGGAGTGACCGGGGCCAGTGCGGTGCTCGAGCCGGTGGGGGCAGAAGCAGTCCCACTCGCATCGCCAGGCAGTCTTGTCACTCAGCGCTGTGTTGTAACATTGACGAGGCTCACTCCTCCTCGGCATCACATGACTCGAAAAGAAAGGGGGCACATGCAGGACAAGCGCAGCAAGGGCACACACAGCACGCTCTGGGGGGTGCAGCTCCACTTCCGACAGGCCTGTGCCATACAGGGCTGCTTGGGAAGCCGCACAGGGGGCATGCCCTGGCTACCTGATGCCGGGGGCGCGCGCATGGGCAGCGGCTCTCCGGTCGGTAACGAGGTGGAAGGGGTCCTGGGCTGTGGGCAGCCGAGGGGCCACTATGGGCACCCCCCGTTGCTTCGACTCCTCTGAGAATATACTCTTGCTGCAGGTGTGAGGGGGGTGGGTGGGTAGCCGGGGCTGAGGAGGAGTGAGAGACTGCCGCGCGAGTTCCACAGCATCCCAGGAGCGGGAGCAGAACAGCCCTCCAGCACGGCCCCCATCACCGACTTCCCAGCCCATTGGACCCTCGATCGGCCCCCTTTCCAGCCCAGCTCACTCCAGCTGGCGAGCGCGGAAGGGGGGCATCGCCGCCATCTCCTCCGCCTCCACCTCCTCCCTGGGCTTGAAGCGCGGCGGCCGAGCCCGTTTCCGCGTGGCCAGGGCTGGCGAGCGCGGCAGGGTCAGGCCACTCCCCGCGCCGGTCTCGGCGCCTTCGTTCCGCGGCCGCTTCGCGGGCCCAGCCCTTCCTCCTGCTCTTGTGCGCGCCGCTGCATGGGATGATCGGGCCGGCTGCCGCCCCTCGAACTCTGCGATGCGCTCTGCTCTCGACCTCCATGGTGAGGCGGGGGGGGGCTCCTGCTGGGAATCAGGGGGAAGCGCAGGGTTTTATAAGATGGGAGGTAGGGGCCGGGCGGGGGTTGATGTGGACGGAGAGATGCAATGCAACATCCTATTCCTGACCTCCAGGCCAGCCAGCAAGGACACCCCAACAACAGAATGGCTAAAATTTCCGGGACGCACCTCGCTGGCGGCGGAGCGGGTGCGCATGCCATGCACCCGTGCTTTCTTCTGGGCCTGCGACCCGGCCTCGACAGGGGTCCGCGCGGTTTGCGAGGCGGGACCTGCCCGGTGGGAGGGTTGTCCCGTCCGCCTGGGCGCGGGGACCTCGGGCTGCGGCGGCAGAACAACAGCGCGTGCCGCCTTTCCCGTGATGCCGTGCGAGAGCACCGGCGGGTCTGGGCGGCTGGGCTGGGCCCCCGCTCCCTTCTCCGGCGCAGGGGCGGAACCCTGGGGTGGGTCCTGGATCGGCCTGCAGCACAGGGGAAGGGGTCAGGCTGCGTCAAAGGGGGTGCATTTCGCAGGCTTGTAAGCCCTGGAAATAGAACCTGAGGCTCCCTGATCACTCAGCCGCAGGGATGGTCTCACAGAAACCATTCCGAGTACACCCCAGCCTCACCCGTCGTCCAGCAGCAACTCTATGGTCGTATCCTGCTCTTCATCAACCGCTGCGACCGCAGCCGTCGCCGCCTCGACATCCAGCACAGTATTCGTGATGGATGCCAAGGCCGGGCGCTTGCTGCTGGCCTTGCCGGCCGGCTGGCTGGCGAGCTTGTTCTCCGACGACTTTGGTATGGGGTGAGAGGTTGCAAGGGTTTGGGCACCACAATATCGCAGTTTTGCAAAGTTGCGGCTGCGGGAGCTCAACCTCGAGCACTGTACCTGGCTGGCCTTGGGAGTCGTGGTTGGTGCAGGAGGATTGGAGTCCTTTGCAATCCCAGGTGGTGTCCTCAGGCCTGCATACATCGGGATGGGCTCGGACACCCTGCTCATGGAGTGAACATGAGTTAAGCCTGCCCACCTAAATCCTACAGCTCCCCCCGTCTTCCCACCGGCAGTCGCCTTCGTGCTGAACCAGTCATCCGGTCGATCCATGGTGGACTCTGGGCTGCCATTGCCGAAATCGTAGTATCGAGGGGCATCGAATTCGAAGCGCGTGTCTCGCGGCCCGGCCTCGAGACCCGGCTCGCCATCCTGCTTGTCCTCACGCGTCGGCCGTGACACGGGATCAGCCACGTCTGTCATGGAGTTTGTTTTTCTACCAGAATGCGCCCGGCATGCTCGGGAGGTCGGAGGATGAAAGGCCCGGCCGGCCACAGGGACGACGGACTGCGCCTCTTCTCGCGCTGAAGAGTGACAGTCCTTTTTTGTGCCCTGCTGTGCAGTCTAATCCCGGATGCAAATCCTTTCCCCAATGCTGCGCATCTTTTGGCCTCCCATGCAACTTCGTAGCGCCCTCTGAGCCCATCTGTCAATTCGTGCAGGGATAACAAGTTCCGGGGTCTCCCCCGACATGCCACAGAGGCCAGATGATGAGAGGGACGACCACTCTGTTCCGTCCCAGTAAATCGGTAAATCGTCAAGGCTCGGCGAATCTGAGCCTCTGCTTTTGTTGCGTTGTCGAGACCTTTGATTGGGTCAAGAATCCCAACAATTCCGTGTTGCGGTCTAGGGTGAAAATGCTGCGTGTCGCCCTTTTGTTCGGCCTCCTGGCCCTGGGCAGCGCCTTCGATCTTCAGAGCCACCATGTGTTTCTATCTCAGGCCCAGGTGAGGCGGCGATGAGGTTTCCGTGGTGGCTTTAGGAGCGCACGCGTTTCAAACGCCAGCAATCTATGACCCCGCTCCACTCCCGAGCAGACCGACCCGCGCGGTGCGTTCGACTTCTGGACTAGGGAGCTGAACAAAGCGTACGATCGTATCGAGGTGAGGATGAGCCAGCCCGGAATGCAGGGGCCCGCGTCTCGGCCCCTCTCGGCCCGATCAGTCCAGACGAGGGTCGAGACTGACTTCCGGTCCTGCCACCACGATGCAGGAGTACGAGCACCGATTTGCCATTTGGATGGACAATCTGCAGTATGTGATTGAGTATAACGCCGCGCACACCAGCCACTGGGTGAGCGGAGAGTTGGGTGGTGTAGGGTTGTGGTTGCCAGGGTGTGGGGAGCCGGTGGGGCTGGGCAATTCCATGGGCGTCATGGTGGGGTTCTCATGGTGCTCGATACTACAGGCTCACTACTGCCGCGCAGGCACCTATTAAATCATCATCATCGCATCTTGGCTGCTGTATCTCGCATCCGCTGCCCCTGTGGTATTTACAGCCTCTGTCGTGGACTGCGTCGGTCCCATCCTCATCTGCCTCAGCCCCTGCCTTGATACTGCAAACCCCTCCCTCCCCCCCCCCACCCCACCCCCCTCCACACAGCTGGGCATGGGCACCTGGGCCGACCTGACCCAGGACGAGTATCGCGTGCGTGCGCTGGGCTTCAGGCCCGACCTGGCGGCGCAGCGGCCGCGGCACGAGGATGCGCGCCTGTCTGCGACCAACCCCGCCGCGCTGCCGGAGGCGGTGGACTGGCGCAAGCAGGGCGCAGTGTCCGAGGTGAAGAACCAGAAGATGTGCGGGAGCTGCTGGGCGTTTGCCACCACGGGCGCGATCGAGGGCATCTCCGCGATCGTCACGGGCAAGCTGGACTCGCTGTCGGAGCAGCAGCTGGTGGACTGCGACCGCGAGCGCGACCATGGCTGCCACGGCGGCCTCATGGATTTTGCGTACGAGTACGTGATCAGGAACGGGGGCCTGGACACCGAGGCCGACTACGGGTACAGGGCGGCGGAGGGGGTGTGCGATCCGGCGCGCGAGGCTCGCCACGTGGTGACCATCGACGGGTACGAGGACGTGCCGCGTTTCGACGAGGGCGCGCTGCGCGCCGCGGTGGCGCGCCAGCCGGTGGCGGTGGCCATCGAGGCCGACCAGCGCCCCTTCCAGCTCTACGCGGGCGGCGTGTTTGACACGCCCTGCGGCACCGCGCTCGACCACGGCGTGCTGGTGGTCGGCTACGGCTCCGAGAACAACGGCACCGCGGACGTGCCGTTCTGGATCGTGAAGAATTCGTGGGGCGGCGCCTGGGGCGACGCAGGGTACATCCGCCTGCTGCGCGCCGAGATCGCGGCGCCGGCGGGCCCCGGCCAGTGCGGCATCGCCATGCAGGCCAGCTACCCAGTGAAGAAGGGGCCCAACCCGCCCACGCCGCCGCCCACGCCCCCCGCGCCGCCCCCGCCCCCGCCGGGCCCGCCCGCGCCGCAGCCCGTGGTCTGCGACCCCACCACCGCCTGCCCCGCCTCCTCCACCTGCTGCTGCATGCGCGAGTTCTTCGGCTACTGCTTCACCTGGGCCTGCTGCCCTCTGGACGGCGCCATCTGCTGCGACGACCACCAGCACTGCTGCCCCCAGAACCTGCCGGTCTGCGACACGTTGGCGGGGCGCTGCCTGGCCGCCGCGGGCGTGCTAGAGGGGTCCCAGCCCATGATCGACAAGGTGGACGCCACCCGCCACCTGCCAGACACCTCGGGCTGGTGGGAGGCGCTGCGCCCCCGCGCGCATGCCGCTGCCGCCTGAGCGAGCTGGGGCGGATGACGGGGCAGACGCCCCCCCAACCCCTTCCCAGAGGCACCACGCGGCTTCCTTGCCCGTGCACACTCGGCCGACGATCGCGCCATGTACCACCACCGCCTCCTCCCTGTGTCAGAACACCACCGGCCCTGGCTCCCAAGCCGGTCATTCAAGGTTTTTTCCAGGCCTGCCTCTGTACTTTCTCAGTGTGTGTAACCAAAAGACATGTTTCTAAAAATTTTACGCCGGCTGGGATTCCTGCCGTACAGCGGACCGGTCCATTTTGCTGCCACTCCACCCTGCCGATTCGCTGCACCGGGGACCGACCGGGGACAGGTGCCAGAGCGGAGGGGCTGCTGACGCGCGCACCTTGCTGCCCTCATCATGACCCTAACAATGCCAAACCCAGCCTTCCAGCCTCAAACCCTTTCAACATCCAAGCATTCATATACTCTACAATGAATGACAAGATCGCCCTCGTGTTCCTGGCTCTTGCGGTGTCCTGCGCCGGAGCCCAGGCTGCCGTCACCAGCGAAACCCTGGAGGCCATCCCTGCGTCCCAATTCGTGTACACCCCACCAACACCCTCCCCCAATGCACTGTCGGTAGGGGGCGTGTCGCAGCGGCGTACCGCGCGCGAGTGGCCCGCACTCGAGGTGAGTCCACGATCTCGAATGCCCCCGCTCCGGCAATGACCTGGATTGAAACCCCCTCCAACCTGGAGGTTCCCCGACTCTCATGCCGAGGTGCTACAAAATTACCCATCTCAGGGACTTGGTATCTCGCAAACAAGCTTCACACTGGAGCCCTGTGCGGTGCGCAGCCCTCACATCCACCAGAACGCAGCGGGCCTCTTGTACGCCATCAATGGTGCGCCGGGGGAGGGTGCTGCCTTGCATGATCAACCTTCTGTGTGCCCTGATGGCACCTGGATACGCATAATTCTGGCACCCCCCCCCTAAATGTCGCCGACTCAAGCCTACCACCAGCCACCCTCCTGCAGCCGAGTCCCTCATGGTTGGGTTCGTCCAGGAGAATGGGACAGCAGTGGAGAACACCATCACCTCAGGCACCTCTGCCGTCTTTCCCCAGGGCCTTGTACACTACCAGTACAACACTGGGTGCAGCCCCGCCACCTATACCATCACCTACAACGATGCGCAGGGCGCCACAGTCAATATTGTGCCGGCGCTCGTCAATCTTCCTCAGGTATGAGTGTTTCATCGTGGGGAGGAGCAGATGTGGAGCCGGCAGGCACATGATCTTGCTGCTGCTTGCCATGGAATGGGGACTGTCCACATGAGGGGGCCTCCCCCAGTTTCACTGTTCCCATGTCCTCACCCTCTGCAATCTGTGTGCAACCGCCCATCAGGCGGTGGTCATGGCGAGCCTGAATATCAGCGAGATGGCGTACGCGGAGCTGGTTCTGGGTGCGCCGACCACCAACTTCATCGCCGAGGCCGATGAGTGCATGGCAAAGTGCATGGTGAAGAGTCAGTCCACCCAGGGACGTCGTCTCCTCGGCGCCCAGCCTGAGATGTGAATTTGGGCCTGAGAATGGGCCAAAGTGATCCCACGCTGCCTGGTCGACCGCTTGTTTTGACTGGATAGCCCCGTACATGATGTTGTTTTCCCGGCGCCCTGCAAAGGTGGTGCTTGTCAGCGCATGCTGTGTGAATCTCATGTCGTCCTGCTTCGTCTCAGACACAATCGCCGTCTGGCACATCGAAGTGAGAAGCACTCGATTGGGCGCAAGGCTGGATGGGGAATTCAGTGGCAGCCGATTGTGCTCCCGGCTTCCGCATTCGTGGTTGCCCCATGCATGGATTGCATGCTGTGCAGCTTAACCACCCCCCCCACTCATACCTCCAGGGAGCGCCCACGAGCTCTCACATCGCCATTTCACAGTTTGTATAGTATACTCGACATATATGATGAGGAGCAAGAGACCTCCAGCGTCCCGAAAGGGCTTACGCTAGTCGTTCACCTAGTCAACATGTTGGTCGGCACGCTCTGCCTAGCTTTGGTGCTGGCTCGGATGGGGCCGCTTGCGATGGTACAAGCCTCATCAGAGCTAGGTATAAACGTTCGATACGTTGATGACGAGTCTGGGAGGGTGCATGCATCGAGTTGGCGCCACGCTCCTCGCTCCACAATTGTTGCGGGTGGGGAGCATGGGTTGGCTTGGCAAGCCAGGTCCACTTCTTGCTGTGACCGGCAGCAATACCTGGAAGACAATGATTCCTGTTTATTTCATGAGCATACCGTTGTTAGGACACTTCTGTCTCTTGAATTTTTTCGCTGGAGTTGCCAGTGGCTGGTGTCCCATATGATGCATGGAACCGCCCCGCCTTTCCCGTTGAGCAGACATGATTGACAGTCCAGCCAGCCATAGCTCACCCTGTGTCACCCCATGCAGACTCCATGTCAGACGTCTGGTGCTCCTACGGTTTCCAAAGGTGCAAGGACGGCCCCCGCGCCCGGCTGCTGGACGTGATCATTTCCCAGCCCGTCTTCCCCCGCCAGTCCCCTGTGGAGGCTGCCGCCCAACAGCTGATGGAGGAGCAGCACGGGTCGCAGCGCGCGCTCCTGGAGGAGCGAGTCAAGGAGCTGGTGGAGGAAAGCCTGGCGGCGCGCGGCATCGGCCCGCGCGCGCGCCGGCTCTCACAGACGCTTCCTGGCTGGTACGACATGGGGCCAGGGACGCGCTTCCTGCTGGAGGCCGCCGCGTCGGTTGGGCTCGAGGGTGACGACGGCTCTGGGACCCTGGGAGCAGTGACCCCTGCAGCAGGAGCACAGCCTGCTGAGGTGGGCCTGGCAGCAGCTGGGGCCCAGCCTGACGCTGCGGACGAGGGGAGGGAGGCGGGAAGCCTTGACCCGGAGCCGTCGGAGGTCCAAGCCCCTCCCCTGGCCATCCCACCGCCATCGCCAGACCCCCCAGTGCCCCCTGAAGCCCACGCTGACAAGGAGCCGACGGTGGTGATTGATGAGGCGCCCCCGCAGCAGCCCTGGCTGGCCCGGGCCCCCCTCTGGCTCTACGTCCTCATCGGCTCCTCCGGCCTCCTCGTCCTGCTGGTGCATCTGGTCCACTGCACGCTGAGCATGCTGTGCCCGCAGCCCCAGCCCGAGCAGCTGGGGAAGGGGAAGGACGACCCGGAGGCCGGCCACACGGCCCCAGGCGAGCAATTCCTGATCCGGGTTGGGCCCCCCCCGGAGGCGCCTGTCAGCGCCGCGGCGGCGCCACCCCCCGGCCCACAAAAGGGGGTCCTGCAGACCTGGCCGCAGCAGGGCGCCAACCACCCAGGAGCTTGGGGGCAACACCCCCAGGACTTACCCTCGCCATACAGCAGCCCCCCGTCCATGCGCTCTGCTGTGTCACCCACGGGTCTCAGGTGGGAGGTGTGTGGCCTGCCGGATTTGATGTGGGATTGTGCAGGCTCCTGACTTTCTGGGCATCATCGCCCGGGCCTCCTGCTCTCCACCCTGGCGTCCACAATGCCGGCTTCCTCATGTGCACAATCCCCGCCTCTACCGCACCCAGCTGTCGCCCCCCTGCCCTCCCGTCGACCTCCTCCCCTCACAACACACACACATCCTCACCGCAGGCTGGCGATGCCCTCCATCCCCACGGTAGACATCTCTGTGCGCCGGAGGGACCTGAGCGCCATGGGGTGGGCCATCAACCCCTCAGCCTCCGACTCCGCCGCCTTTCACAACCCCACCTTCCAGGCGGGCAGCAGCCTCTTCGACGGTGGGTTGTGGTGAGGGCTGGGGAGGGGAAACTTTGGTGTCGCTGCGTGGCAATACAGGGTGACAGTCTAACCCAGCGACAAGCCTTAGGGAGGCATCTTCCTCGACCACACCCGCCGCCGTTTCACCCTTCTTGCGTGACCCTCAAAACCGCGCAGAGGCGTCCTTGGGGTCGGGCGACAGCCCCGGCGCCGGGGTGTTCTCGGAGGACAGCAGCCCCGCAGCCTCGCCGCTGCGCAAGGCCTCGCACGACTTTGCCCTGGGCACGACGGTGTCGCGCGCCGACAGCGGCGCGCCCGCCTCCCCTGCAAGCCAGGAAAGCGTTGCCACGCTGCACCCCGCGGCCTCCATCCAGCCGCACGAGGTGGCGGCCGCGCACGCCGTGCTGGCGGCCGACGGCGAGGCCTGGCCGCGCCCTGGCTCACCGCCAGCGCCCGATCCGGCAGGGGCTGCAGGAGTGGGGGGCGAGGCTGAGACGCTGGGGCAGGGTGGAGCAAGTGAGGATGTGGCCGAGCCGGTGGGGGCTGTGCCCGGGATGCCTGGCTCTACGCCGCCAGCCTCACCGTCGCGCCCGGCGCCCCCGCCGCCGCCCCGCCCCGGCGCGCCGACGGAGCTGCTGAGCGCCGAGCGGCTGGCGGCCGAGGTTCGCGTGCTCTCCCTGCTGGGCTCCGGCAGCACCGGCAGCGTCTACGCCGGCACCTGGCGCGGCGCGCCAGTGGCGGTCAAGCGCATCCACCCCGCGCTGGCGGCCGCCCCCGGCGCGGCGCGCGCGCTGGCCCGCGAGGTGGGCGTGCTGTCCGGCCTGGCGCCCCACCCCTGCATCGTGCCCAACCTGGCGGCCTGCCTCGCCCCCGGGCACCTGTGCCTGGTCCAGGAGCTGGCGGCGGGGGGCTCGCTGCACGCCAAGCTGCACGACCAGGGTCGCCGCCCGCAGTACGGCCTGCTGCTGGCGCTGGCCGCTGACCTGGCGCGGGGCATGGCGCACTGCCACGCCGCGCGCCCGCCGGTGGTCCACCGCGACCTCAAGTCCCACAACGTGCTGCTGGCGGGGGAAGGAGACGGTGCCGGGGGTGGTGGCGCGATCGGACCCGCGACCTCCTCCCCCACCCCGGCGGCGCGCATCGCCGACTTTGGCCTGGCGCGCGCGCTGCCGCGCGACGCGGCGTGCGGCGCCGACGCCGCCGACGCCGCCCCGGAGCCGGGGCTGGGCACGGCGGCGTACATGGCGCCCGAGGCCTTTTCCGGCGGCCCCGTCGCCGCGCCGGCCGACGTCTGGGCCTGGGCGCTGGTGGTGCACGAGATGCTGGGAGGGCGGCAGCCCTGGGCGGAGCTGGGGCACGTCATGCAGGTGGTGGTGGCGGTGGGCGTGGAGCGGCGCCGCCCAGCCATGCCCCTGGGCACGCCGCCCGCACTGGCCAAGCTGCTGCGCGAGTGCTGGCGCCACGAGCCCGCGCTGAGGCCCACCAGCACCCAGGTGCTGGAGCGCGTCGAGGCCCTGCGCGTGCGCGGCGGCGGCGCCCCGGCCGCGCGCGGCGCGGCGTCGACGCCGGCGGGGCAGAAGCCGGCCGCGCTGGCCTGGGCGCCGCAGGTGGCGCGCAAGGCCGGCCTCGCGCCAGCGGCGCAGGGGCGGGAGCGCGGCGGCGTCGGACGCAGCGCCTCGCTCGGCGCCGGGGTCGGCGGGCGTGGCCCCTCGCCCGGCGCCCGCGCCGGGCTGCGATGACGTGGCGCTTGGAGTGTACCTGGACGGTGATGTGCACGCCACGGGGGGACCACAGGAGTAGCTCAGAAACGCGTGTTGCGGCGCCCTGGCGGGACCCCCTTGTGATGCCTGCACCTGACACTCCAAGCCCATCACCGGCGCCACATTTGATTTTGCAGGGGCGGCTGCCCGCGTTCTTGACCTCTGCTTGGCATGTGATACCCGCTACTGCTCCCCGTACTGAGGGGAAGCATGTCTCCCCGCTCTCCAGTCTCATTGTGCTGTTGACATTGGAATGCAGCAGGGGAAAGGGCGACGCGGGCGTGGTATCATTGCGCCCGGTGGGGGATGTAATGGGGGGGGGCAATCCCCCCCCAACTGCAAGGGACCCTGTCGCGGCCCCTGCACCACCACCAGGCAACTCCGGGAAAAAGGACGGTAGTGTGGGAGCACGGCCGTGAAGCAGCAGCTTCCAGTCGCGACCAGAGCGACGGCTTCTGGCGATGTCCACTAGCCAAAGGTGATGTTGGTGTGCCCGCCGGGCGGGGCCAGCACCCTAGAGGATGACCGACCGGTCAGGAAGTTGCCCACGTTCTGGCCCTCGGGCCGAACGTAGTTGTTCTTGACGTGGCCGGAGACATCCTCGGACCCGAAACCGGCCTGCGAGTGACCCGGGGCGTTCTCCTTGTATTCACCCTGGGGGGTTAGGTTTGGTCGGCATGGGCACAACACGCGGCAGGCTGGGTGGGGACGGTGCATGCGGCGTAACCCAACTGGTGATGGATGAAAGTGTGGCAGTGTGGATATTCGAGCCCAGAGTCCCATGGGGCTGGGAATGGACGAGAATGCAGAGCAACCCCCTCAATCAAGGCCTCTCCCATCTAGTCACCTCGGCTTCAGCGCCATCCGCGTGGGTCGGCGCGAGATTTCCGACCGCAGACGGCAGGAGGTCGCCCGTGAAATCCGACACGATAGTCCTAATGATTGGGAGGGAGGAATGGATGGTTCAGCCGGCCTGGCGTGCGCACACATGCTGCTGGTACCCCAGTCTCGTCGGGTCCGTCGCCTCAATCCTGGGCGTGGGCTTACAGCGAGGTGATCCAGGCGTCACCATCTGAAACAAGACTCACATGTCGCCTGTGGACAACATGTGCTCCTGTAGGCGGTCCATCAAGGACTCGCGGCTGCCGGCAGGGGTGAGGCCCCGAGCCCGGCACTGGTTACGGAGGTCCTTGAGGAGGAGTGGCCGGAGAACGGCATTGACCTCGATCGCGGATGGTGCCATTGTGGAGGCTGTTGGGTCGGGGGTGTGCGTGAGTGACCGCGATTTGGGAAGATGACCAAAGTCAGCCGCACATCCGAATTTGAAGACCTCGAACGAAAGCTGTTGCTGTCGGTACACAGCGCGCGCAGCAGGAGCAGGGGAGGTTCTGATCCGACCGACCCGCCTTTTGCTGCTGTGGTGCTGCAAGCCACAGGCTCAGCTGACTTCAAGTCTACAGTATCTAATTTGCGACACACGTCACGCTAATGGTAGCTAAAGCAAGGCGACGGAGCCAGGCGTCGCCCAGCATCCGCCCTTCGACAGAAGACTTTAGTGAACGAGCCCCAGCCCAGCCAAACAGGGGCATCATTTACGCGCAAACTCCAGGCCCTTGTTGATGCTGGATGCGAGCTCCTCCTGCATGGCCGCGAATCCGGCCTGCTCCAGGGGGCTGAGGCGCGGCAAGGGGGGGATGCGGGCGATGCCGCCGGGCCCCAGCTCCACCGGCGACGCGAAGAAGGGCGAGGATGTCAAGTTAGAGGCCACGTACGCGCACTCCACGACCCCCCGCTCCCCGGCCTTGGCTCGCAGGCACGACGTGGCAAACTCGGCGGCAGCATACGCCATGGAGAGCGTGGCGCTGCCTGCGCCAGCCTGCGATTTTGTAACGGGAGGAGGAGGAGGGGGATGGCATTGGAATCTTTGCCACCAGGCCGCTGTGATGAGACCACCCTTCGGTCTCCCGACCCCAGCGACCCCTGTGCCCAGACACCAGACATGCCTTGGCCTTGACGACCTCTGTGCCGGCGTCCTGGATGCGTGCCATCAGCGCCTTTGCTTCGGCCTCTGACAGCCTGGGCTGGGGCACGGCGGCGGAGAGGAGGGGCAGGATGGTGACCCCGGCATGCCCCCCAATCACGGGCACGGTGACGGCCTCCGGCGCGGCGCCCGTGGCCTCGGCGACAAAGGCCCGGGCGCGGACGACGTCCAGCGTGGTCACGCCGAAGAGGCGGGCGGGGTCGTAGACCCCGGCGGCCTTCAGCACCTCGGCCGCGATGGGCACGGTGGAGTTCACGGGGTTGGAGATGATGGCCAGCCAGGCGGCGGGGCAGTACCGCGCCACGCCCGCCACCAGCGTCCTCACGATGCCGGCGTTGATGTTGAACAGGTCATCGCGCGTCATGCCGGGCTTGCGCGGCACGCCGGCGGGGACCACCACCAGGTCCGCGCCGAACAGCGCCGTGCCCAGCGCCTCGGCGCCGGAGTGCGCGGTCACACGGGCGCCGGTGGCGATGTGGGACAGGTCCGCGGCCACGCCGGCTGTGTTGGCAACGTCGTACAGCCTCAGCTCCTTGATGTAGGCAGACCTGGAGGGTTGAGGGGGGTGGAACGAAGGGAGACTGATTTGGGGATGAAGTCAAAGACTTCCAAGTCGACATGCTGAGACAAGGCAGGTGAAGCACAAATCTTCGCTGTCACTCATCATCGGCCCCACGCACTGCTTGAGGAGGAGGGCAAGGGGCTGGCCGATGCCGCCAGCGGCGCCGAGCAGGGCTACATTGAACTTGCCAGAACCGCTGGCGCTGGTGGCCTCAGGGTGCACGCTCCCGGCCAAACCCTGGCGACGGGAAGGAGGAGCGGACGGGAGCTGGCAACATGGTGACTGAGTAATAGCGCGGATGAAGCCATGGCTCCAGGTAGAATTCATCCCACCCCTCTGCTCGTCCCAACCTGCGTGTCGTGGACAAAGTGGGCAGAGAGACGAGAAACGCGGTCCATGCTGCTGGGATCCTGGATCAGTCGACCGCTTTACACTCTAGTCGAAATTAGCTTGAATTGTAAATAATCGATAACTTACCCCGACGGCATGCACGAGCAGTGGCAACGGGTATCAAGTCGGGTTTTGTTCGCTCCTTGCAAAAACGGAATGGAGTGTCGAGTCAGCATCTCGGCACTCGAAACATGCTCGGCAACTCGGGCCCCTGACTGGCGGGAGCTGTGGATCAGCATCGCCTCCACGATGAGGATACTGAGAGGACAAACTGCCCTTGGTCCTCCAGCACATTCGACTTCCCCGATGTGAGATCGTTTGGACGCACACTCAGGTGACGCCCAGAGGCCAACAACACCGTCACCACATGGTGCATCTTTAATGTCAGCACTGGCGCCTACTCATAGCGATGTGCGCGTCAGACTTAGTCCCTCAGTTGGGGCTATTGCAAGCAGAACTCTGAGGTATGCTTCAGGCTGCATGTGTTCGTTTAAAGAATACCTGCCATGGCAACCGTGCCCATTCCCCTCATTTTATCCCTCCTCCCTTGCAAATGGACAGGCACAGACCCTCTCGATCCGCATGCAGCAGGATTCTATGCCAGCAGCGCCCCCCCAGAAGGCTGGTGCCATACATTTTGACCCTTCCCCGTCGGGCTGAGCTGTATCTGAAGTCCAGCTGGCCTCTGCGGATCTTATGGACCGGTTCCAGTGCCGGCCTGGGGTGTGTCGGGGCAGATCGGGAGCGCTGTTGTCTTCCTGGGCACCCAGGAGAGGGGAGCACTGGGCAGCTTTCCTGTCCCGCTTGTTTGTGCCGGGATCTCTTTTCTAGCCAACAGGAGCTTGCAATGCTGGGAATTACCTCACGACGCTGCGTTTTCTCTTGCAAAATTGCGCCACACACCACCTCCCAGAGCCCACCGCTGCCGCAGGTATTACGCGGGCAACATCGTGACGCTGACGTTTGGCGCGCTTTCCATCAACGATGTCCTGGCGGCGGTGGTCACGCTGCTCTTCTACGAGGCGGTCAGCGCCGCCTTCTATCGCTCCCCCACCAGGCCCCTGCGCCTGTGGATGGCCAACTTCTTTAAGGCCGGGCTCACCGCCGCCCTGCTTGCCGACGCCGTGAAGCTGGGAGGGTGATGGGAGGGCACTCCTGCGCTGCTGAGTGGGATGCATCAAGGACTGGAATCAGCGGTCACATCTGGAGGCTCGGGGAGCAGGATGGGTACTCAAGCTCAGTCAGGAGGCAGCCCGGCCCTCAGTGGAGAAACAGTCGAGACCCGTGCTGCTATCCTCTAAGCTTGCAGTTCACCAAAACATCAGCTGGTGATGCTTGTAACAAGATAGTATTGCCTGTGCAGGTCGATGCTTCCCCAGTATTACAATGAAGCCTGTGCTGTCCAATATTGTTACACATAGTAATTGACGAGACACTTTGGCCTCGATCAAAAGTACTTGGCCTGCGTCGGGCATGGGAAGGTTATTAGCTCTGCGTTTCGGAGCTCTTTCAAGTTCAACCACTGCAGAAGCGTCATAACACTAGCGCATTCCCAGCCCTCCCACTCACCATCTGCACCTCCTTGCGAGCAAGGCCAGCCTTGGCATAGAACGCAGCATTGCTTTCTGCACAGTCCAGGATGACCTTGTAGCAGCCTGCCTCCTCTGCCAGATCTACCAGCCGCTGTATCAACCTGCAGCAGGTGCAAGGCCAGTCCACTGAGTTGACAGTGTTGCCAATTGTTCCAACCAACAGCATCCTCGGTTACCCTTGTGCACTCTCAAATGCAAACCTGGTCCAACTCCAGACAGCCACCTCTGCACCCTGGCGTACACCGTCACGAGGCGCAATCTCTGCCTACCTCAGGCCCAGCCCATATCCACGGCAGCTGTTGTCAACCACTACGTCCTCGATGTGACCGCACTTGCCGCTGCTCCGCAGGAACTTTAGCTCGATGAGGAGTGTTGCGGTGGCCACTATTCTTTCGGTGGTTGTGTCTGCACATGCGGGCAGAGGATGTGACACAAAGTCAACACCCTTGGTCACCGTCCTGTTGGTTATATTTGTACAGGATCTGATGCTGGCAAGATGCAGGGCCCTGGATCTCAGCTCACCCTCAATGACCATGATCTTGTACACATCTTGTTGACTGGACAGGACCTGGAAGCGCTCTGCTACCGCAATGGGATGTATGTGAGAATAATTGAGGGCGAAACATCTCCAAGGAAGTCATGCACAACCCTTGCCTGCTCGACTCGGGCACGTTGCCCCACCTTGCCAGGCTGCCTCGTCGACATTCCCAACCTGGCTCAGCTGCGCCAGCACCTCGACATGACCTGCAGACAGGCATACGCGTAATTGTTGATACATTCTGCACATTCCGTGCATGCGCCTCCAGGAAGGGCAGATCATACCATTGGCCAGTGCGCCACTCTCTGGACCCCACCCTTCCGGAAGTCGCCGGCCTGAAGAGATCGAAGGCGAAAGCGGTCTCCAGAGGTGCTGGCCATGCTTGAATTTGCTGTCTATCTCTAAGATTGAGAGGTCGCCATTGTCGACTGGGAATGGTGCTGTGCGAAAATAAAGTCCAGGGCCACCATGCGGCAATTTCGTGCCCGGGGTCCCCTCCTTGATATTGGGGCCTCAGGCAGGTGCACAACAATGTACAGTAGCCATTGCCTCGGCCATGACCAAACGAGAGAATGCATCAATGACGCGGTTCGCAATGCGCAGGACGGCATGCATCTGAGAGGCCGGCCTCCACCGCGTCTCATTCGTTTGCACCGCTGGGGGGTCCTCTCCCCCCCACCCAACTTCCAGACCACCTGCCCACGCCGCGTCATCGGTAGAGGATGCCCGTGATGTAGCCGGTGACCACGCCGACCACCGCGCCCACCGCAACCTGCAGCGGCGTGTGGCCCAGCTGGTCCTTCAGCTGCTCCACGTTGCTGGCCACGGGGTGGTCGGGCGGCAGCTCCATGATGATCATGTTGAGCACGCTGGCCTGCTTGCCGGCGTGCAGTCGCACCCCCGTCGCATCGTACATGACCTGGAGGGAAGATGAAGAGGAGGGACTCGGGGTGGGGAGAGTGAATTGAGCAGGGTGTGCGATGGTGGAGGAAGGCTGCTTGCATTCCACCACAGCATGCGAGGCCAGGCCCTGCAAGGGCCCCAGACCATGGCTGGCCCGCCCAGTGACACAGCGATGCCAGCCCATGACTCCCTTCCCCTGAGCAACAGCTCACCACGAGGGAGAAGACGACGCACATCGCAAAGTACGAGCTGGATGTGCCTTGTAGGACGCCCACGGCCGACGTAAGGCCCATGACCTGGGGTCCGAACGATGAAAGGGGATGAGTCATGGGGTTCTGTGATTGCCCCCAGCAGAGGGCGGCGTCAACGCCAGGAGGCAGCCACTCGAGGCCCATGCATTGCGGTACCCAGAAGCCCTGGGCAAAGCGCAGGCACCGCACAGGCATGCACCATGTCCAGGAACACTCCACACGTACACAGGAGGTGTGCGAGGAGGGCATGCCGCCTGAGCCCCAGAGCCGTTCCAGCTCCCACTTCCGCTCAGAGTAGTAGTGCGTGAACATCTTGGCGGCCTGGGCAAAGAAGAAGCCGAGGAACGCCGCCACAAATGCTCTGCCAGTAGAGGGGGCAGTGACGGGGAAAACCCATTGGCTTATCTGGATTGGGAGCTGACAGGGTACACACCAGACCAACAGGGCACAGACGGGTCAAGGATGGCCTGCCGCAGCCTACCACCCAGCCAGCCAGCCACAGTCGACAGGTACTGAAGCGCGAACCCTCTCCACGCCCCCTCGCTCACCCGTTGAAGAATACTCCCATCAGACCAACGTGTTCTGTTACCAGACTCTCGGCATCTGGTGCCTCTTCCAGCCATCGCATGGCGCTCGCTCACAGGGGAGCGGTGCCCCCTTTGGCCTCGGTCCAACTTCACCCAGTTATATATGAGTTGCGGCTATGACACCCTGGTCCGACCACGACTACTTGTTGATTCAGAACCAAAGATGTTTGTTCTGTATTCTGAGGGAAGTGAAGGGCCAAGGAGGGTCTCACCGAGGCATACTCTATCAAAACGCCTGCCGTACGCTGTTCTGCCTGAAGTAGGCTAGGGCCTGCGTATACCGATCAAAAATTCACAAAACCTGGCGTGCACATTGTGTGGTATGCCCTTGACCCCTTCAGCATGGAGGAGCAGGCGAGAATGTGGATCGATCTCGCGCAACTGCCCCCCGCTCCTGTGCCGTGTTGCAAAACAGCCTGGCGGGAGCTGGGGATGGCACCCAAGCGAGAACATTTAAGCCATCGGCATGGCTGCGCTGCCATCCCAAACCGCAATGCAAAGAGCGCGGTAGTTTTTCTCCAGACTCGGTTCCTAGACCTCAGTGGGCGAGGAGGAGTTGGACGGGGCTTCGTCCGCCATGTACATAGAGAACTGGGAGAGTTTCTATCAGCAAGCGGAAGCGCTGTACACAGCCAATCCCCTGCTCACTCGATACAGCATCAAGTATAGGCATTGCGATGGAAAGCTCTCCGTCAAGGTCACCGACAACACGACGGTGAGCGCGGTCTTGCGGGGCTTGGTGGGTGGTGTTGCAGGTGGGCAGGCCACCGCGTCTTGCCGGTATCAGCATCCCTCTCTCATCGATCTCACCCTGCCACCCACTCCAGTGTCTGCAATACAAGACGGATCAGCAGGCTGATCTGAAGAAGGTGGACAAGTTGAACGCCCTGTTCTTCGCCCTCATGGCCACCGGCCAGGCGCCCCAAGGTAGTTGTAGTTTCACGGATGATCGCGTGTACTGTCCATGAATGGAGCTGCTCGATGGTGGGCCTGGGGGACCCCACAGTGATCCCCCCCCAAACTCCATCTTGCCGCAGAGGAGGCGGGGCGGACAGCCCCGGTCAGGAGTGCGGGCGCATCCCGTCGAAAAGGCTGACCCCATGCAGCGTCTGTGCATAGCTTGTTCACCGTTTACCCTTCCCCGCTCCCCTGCTCCTTCTTCTGCTGCAACGTGCACATCTTCAGTACAGTGGAGGGAGCAGGGTCTGCGCAACGCTGCAGGTCTGCAGGCCGTGGGCCAGGAGCCATGGGCCTCCAGAGGCCCATGGCTTCACACACCCAGGCCGCCGTCGGGCGGGCGCAGCACCCGCAGCCTGACCAGGAAGGCGTGGAGGGAGCGGAGGGCCTGCATGTCGCGCGCATCGTACTCCACCGGCGCCGGGCCGTTGACCCCTCCGGGCCGCAGGCGGCGCAGCAGGCCGGCCCACCCCAGCGCCGGCCGCTCCACAGCTTCCACGGCGCCCTCTGGCCCATCCCACAGGAACTGGAAAGCGGCGCGCAGGTCGGCGGGGCCTGCGCGCACCGGCGCGTCAAAGTGCGCGGGGATGACGCGCCGGAAGTCCCACTCGCCGCACATGGCGCCCACCCAGTCCCGCGCGGCGGCGGAGATGGCGGGGAAGACCAGCACCCGCAGCACCGGCCCCACGATCAGGCGCTCCGCCAGGGCGCCGAAGCTAGCCCGCGGGTCGCGCAGGTCCCCCGGCCGGAAGTAGAGCACCAGCAGGACGGCGCGGCGCCAGCCCAGCTGCGCCGCCGCGGGGGTCAGCTCCCGCGGCCGCAGCGGGACGTCGGGCAGCGGCTCCGCCGCGCGCTGGGGGCCCACCAGCGTCCTCACGTAGAAGTTGGAGCTGGCCTGGAACAACAGCTCGGAGCTGCTCACCGTCTGGGGGGGAAGGGGGGGGGGGTGGGCTGGAGGAGGCAAGACAAGTTTCTGGAGTTGGGCGAGAGGTGAGGCGTCACGTGCCACCAGGCAGGCAGGCAGGCGGGGCCCGGGGCCACCGCAGGTGCAGGGGCTGCACAGTCGCCACCACCCTCTCCTCACATCCTCCGACACATGACCCACCGCCGGCGGCTGAGCGGGGATGGAAACCACTGCGTCGGTGACCAGCAGGGTCCGGGTTGGCTTGTGGAAAAAGGACACCTCGACGTACGGCGCGGCCCCCAGGCTCGCCTGCAGCACCTTTTGCTGTATCTCGCCTGCCCACGGCACATCTGCAGGCTTGGGGGGGTGGGCAAGAGGGGTGAGGGGCAGAGCTAGGGGTGGTGACGTTGGAGCAAGGAGACATTCCTGCTTCTGCCTTTGAGGTGGGCAGTTTGCAAGGGCCCAACAAGCAGTCCAAACCCCTTCAGGCCGTGCGCGCCTGGGTCATCGGTGGTGAGGATTCCAGAGGGAAAGATGCCCAAGGCTTGCAGGGGGAGGTTCAGGGGGAAGCTCCAGGTCCTGCATGCGATGATCAACACAGGCTGCTGAATGACGGGAGGGAGAGGTGTCAGTCAACAGGACCAGCTCGCGCTGTGCTCCACTGGACTCACCTGGGCGGGACGTACACCTTGGCCCGAGGGAACTTCCTGCTGAAAGGGCCCACGAAAACCTTGTGCTCATAGGCGTATGTCGTCAGCACGATGTATCCCACTGGGAAGCCCAACTCCTGTCATGCGATGGAGAAACATTAGAGTGAGGGGCCTGGCAGCCAGACAGGGGGGCTCAACACAGTGCCTGGATCTTCCTGCCTCTCACCCTCATCAGCCGGATGCACTCGGCGGTGGGTGCAATGGGCGCATGAACCCAGAGCACGCCAGACAGCAGCTTGATCACAGTCATCCTGATGTTTGTGGAGGTGCGGAACCCCGCAAACGTCTGGGCCTGCTCAAAAGTCCACATGACCCCTGGTGTCACCTGGACGTGTTCAGGGTTTGAGTTGTGGGCTCTGGGAGGGACTGCCTGCGCCGGCACAAGCTCTACACCTTCCTTTAGACGCCACAAGCGTCCTAGCACACCTCTCTTCGTATGGTCTTCCGTCGGAGGACTGGGCCCAGTGGGAAGGGAAACCCGATGAAGTTAAAGTACAGCTGATCCCGGAGCTTGGAGCCCCCCTGCTCTTGCTCAGGACCAGTGGCCTTCCTAGTACCGTTCTGCCTGTGGAACAACAATGTGATGGGGAGATAACCATGCTGATGGATGTGATGGTGCGGATTGTGTTGTCATGGTCCATGAGGGCGCGATGCCCACCATGATGCCCCAAACAGCAATACCCTTGGACCTCACCGCAACATGCAAACGTTCAAAACCCCTCCATGCACCTCGTCGTGATTCTATCCTCCTTTTTGCTCCGTGGCACTGCTCTAGTTTGAAGGTTGCGCTGGGGCATGGACTTCAGGGCAACAGTATTGCCAGCACCTGTGGCGGTCGCGGTGCCCACCCGCGAAGGGCAGGCCATGGCACTATGCAGCATCTAGGGTGTTTTAAATACTGCTGCAAGTATTGCAGCAAAACAGTTCTGCCACATTCTGGATCGCCGCAGTCGTGCATGACACGTAACGTGTCCCTCCCGGGATGCGGTGCTGCTGTGGGGGAGTGGCCCACCCGTGCCGACGTCAGCAGGCGCGGTGTGCTGGTGAACATCACGACCTGTACCACAGCTTCAAACTTTTTGCGATCTCCAACGAATTCTCCTCCCGTGATTTGCACCACAAGCGACACCATGGGCTGCATTTGGCCTTACAACTCACTCCCTCGCAGAACTGGGACCACGAGGGCTTCATCACCCTGTGCTCTTCTGGCTGAGTTTGCAGAGCTCGGCCAGGAGGCCCGAGAGCTGCAGCCGTGACCCCACGCCATCCGCAATGCGCATGTGGCAGAACCCGATCTGCTTGATGTACTCCAGCTTGAGGAACTCGTTGATGCCCGCGTAGCCCCGCACCACCCTGAACAGGATGGTGATGATGTCCTGGGCGCTGTACCCGCTGTCGCACAGCGCCTGGCAGGTTTGTTGGGTTGAGGTGGGGTGTGGATGAGTGGGGTGGAGCTGTGTCGCGCTGCTTTGCGCTCAGATGGGGGCGGGGCGTCAGCGTTCCTCGAGCGACACCCTGCAGAGATGGCAGGATCCGGGGCACAGCCACTCACCTCCCTGCCTCGAGGAGACCAGAAAGGCCTGCCCCAGTCACCTCCAACCCCCCCGATTCCACACCCCCAAGCACCTTCATGCCCACGTATGCCTCGTCTATTCGCGCGGCCAGGCAGTGCTGCAGCATGCTCCTCACCAGCACCGGGTGCGGCTGGTCGCAAACCTGCACGGCGTGTGGGCCTGTTGGGTGAACGGGGGCGCAGACACGTGGCGGTCAGGCCCACGCAGGACTCCACCCACAACCCCGCGGCGCTCCCTCGCCCCCTCTCAGAACACGGCCTCGTCGCACGCAGCCCTGCCAGGCCCCAGCAGCCTTCCACCTCCCCCGCCCTCCCCCTCCCTCCTCCCTCCCACCCTGAAGACGCCGGCCTGGTCCACCAGGCCCGGCCCCCGCGCGGTGGCCTGCAGCGCGTTGAGCGCGCCGCGCATGTCGCCGTCGGCGACGAACACCACCGCCTCCAGGCCGTCGGGAGTGTGGGCCACCCCCTCTGCCGCAGCCACGTGGAGCAGGCGGGCCAGGACCTCGGCGTCGGCCAGGCGCGCGTAGCGCACCACCGCGCACCGACTCTGGATGGGCTCGATGATCTTGGAGGAGGTGTTGCAAGCCAGCGCGAAGCGCGTGGTGGCGCTGTGCACCTCCATGGTGCGGCGCAGGGCCTGCTGCGCGCCGCCCGTCATCGAGTCGGCCTCGTCCAGCACCACGATCTTGTGGCGGCCGGGGGGCAGGCTCACGCGCTGCTGCGCAAAGTTCTTGATCTTGGTGCGCACCACGTCGATGCCCCTGGTGGTGGCGGGGCGGGGTGTTTTTATTAGTTTTGGGTGGGGGGGGGGAGGGGGGCAGTTGTTCTGGAATGGAGTCGACGGAAGTGGAAGCATTGGTGGATGCAAACTGCAGCACACTGATTACGTCGGGGTCACCCCCTCTTCAAGACATTGGCCGAGGCGCTCAAAGGCAGACAGGCAAGCACTTCCACGCAAGCCTGCTCCCCGTCTCAGAGGTGAGGTGCTCCCGAATTCCTCCTCCATTCAGCACCTATCGTCCGAGGCGTTGAGCTCCAGCACGGCGTCCTTGTAGTGTGGGCCCAGCAGCTCCCGAGCAACACACTGGATGCTCGTGGTCTTGCCGGTGCCAGGTGGACCCTGGCATGAGTGGGTTCAGGGGTCGATGGCGTTGAGAGGAAGGGGGGGCAGCGGAGTGGGGTGGCGTGGCAGGTGTTTGGAACGCAGACCGATGAGCAAAGGATGACGAGATCGCACGACAGAGGCCCGGCGACGACCATCGTCCTGTCCACCTCTCGGCCAGCATTGCTGCTGGAAGACTTTCGAGAGCTGAGACCTCGTATGACACTGCAAAACGTACACCAAAACCTCTCTCCCGTCCAAGTAAACCAGCTCACGGCCAGGATGATGTTGGGCATGTTGCCCTCCTCAGCGATGATCTGCAGGCGGGAGACCGCCTCCACATTCCCGACGATGTCCCGCACGCGGGTGGGGCGATACTTTTCGACCTTCCAAATGGTGGGTGTGGATTGGGCGGACGGTTCGGGTGTTATGCGTGGATCTATGTCGGCAGGCTCCCACACCCAGATGCATGGTCCATCACCAAGACCTTGGCGCCCATGCACGGCTCGACGCACCCATGGTAGCTCAAAAGAGGACTTCGAGGTTGATGGCCCTTGATCTGTATCCATCGCGGTGGGGCCCTCCCCGGCCGACATAGTATTGGCGTTGCTGTGGCTGTGTGCGAAGTGGGGTGGGGGAAACGACAACACAACTCCCTGAAGGGGTGCGGGGCCCGATCGTACTAATGCCAGGCACAGGGCGATAATTGCCAAAGCGATCTGTGGGTGCATGCCATCGTGCGAATCCCAAGTCTCAGGAGCGCGCATTCACAGTTCGCGGGGTTCAAATCAGTGGGTGGCGATCTCACCACAGCACAGCATGCCAGGGCATCGATCACACCCACGCAGGCTTGTTCTCTGGGCGGATCTGCGTCTCACCTGGATGTGCAACCGATATTTTACTATTAAATTGTTTAACATCCGCCCTGTACTCTCCCACTTGTCCCAGGCGTGGCCCGACTCCTCCCGTCTGCACCCCCCTCCGACACCCCTTGGCTTCGGTTTGTGTTCACATTTAGCGCTCTGGAGCCTTGATCGATCGGACATCCCACCTTTAACATCATTGGGACATTATGTACGTGCGTGTCAAGCGCCAGAAGACCACCGTGTTCCTGCAGGTCAACCCCACTGACACCGTGGCCACCCTCAAGTCTGCTATCGGCGATCTCATACAGCAGGTAGGCGACCTGCACACCAGGGGCTGGAAGCGCACCCACATCCTCGACTTACTTCCGCTCTGTACGATGCGCAGGAACCATCCACCCAGCAGCTGTACCGAGGAAGCACGGCCCTGACAGACACCCAGACCCTGGCCGAGCTGGGCGTGCATGACGACGACGAGCTGGGACTGGCGCTGAAGAAAGAAGGTATGTGTGGAGGGATTGTGCGCTGTGGCCGACCCCTCCATGCCACTGCACTGACTGGCACCTGGACTCATGTCACCCTCCCCATTTTCCTGGCCCCAGATGGCACATGGGAGGCACTGGAGATCATGCGGCACGAGGCGCCGTCCGACGGTGTCGCGGAATGATGGTGAAGCCCATGGCTACGCACCTTGGGCTAATGCGCTCAGGGGTCCCAGGGGCTGCCTTCACCCGTGCCCTCCTTCCTCGCCGTGCTCACAGCAGGGCACCTCCTGCCCGGCACCGCTGGCTAGTCTACTGTGCATGTTCCTTGATTATTCAGGCCCAGATGGCCTCTGCGCCCTCTTCTCAACCGCTTAGTACCTCTATCCCTTTAAGCAGCTGCTGCTCAGTACAGCCAGAGTCTGAGCACCAGGACGAGGAGCACGATGCCACCTGTCACGAACCACGGCAGGTATTTTCGGAGCAAGGCCTGGTGGTACAGGTCTTTCGCCTTGACCGCAAACTGCCGGGCATCATTGGACAGCAGGGTGGACATTTCCTGCATCTCTGTGAGGCAGTGACAAGGGGGTGGGTTGAGTGGCTTGAGGGGCGGGGTGGGAAGGGGGGAAGGGCGCTCTTCCTATCTCAAGGTGCAAGGAAAGACCCGGGATGTTGTGGCTTTCCATGTCAGAGTGAGGCACCCCTCAGCCTTGCCGAGACATCATGACCAGAATATGGACAAGAAAGCGACCTGCCTGCCAACAAGCAATCCGCAGTATGCATGTGCACTCTTCGGAGAGTATAAAGTGAAGCAAAGTGCCCAAGCCCAACAAAGCCCAGCTGCAAACAAGACACCCCAGCGCAACTCACTGTCGAGGCGCTCTCCTTGCGCTAGGACGTCATTGATGTTTCGCGTCATGATTTGGTGGACCTCGGCAATGTCCTGATTCAGCTTGGCTATGTTTCGTTGGGTCCTGGTGTCCAAGTACAACTTCTTTGTCTTCTGGATGAATGTGTCTGTGTAACGAGGCAGAATGGCCATGCTGAGTCTGCCATGCGTCAGGACACAAGGTCCCGTCCATCGACCCTGGCACCACACAGAGCTTGTTGTCAAGAGCCATAAATGTTTCTGCAGGCAAGACAGCGCATGGCTACTCACCAAACTTAATGAAGGCATACGGGCGGTTGACCGTATCGACCTGCGGGCCGTGCATTCGCGAAAACTCGCTCTGCAGCTCCTCCAGGTACTGGTACGCTAGCTTCTTGGGGTAGGCCTTGTCTGTGAGGGTGAGGTAGCAGACGCCATACTCGTCGATCAGGGTGTGGAACACCATGTCACCCGAGGCGACCGACTGCCGTGGGGGCGGCTTGCTCGTGCTGAACTGCTTGAAGAGGCTCTGCAAGGGGGGGTTGGTCGCCGCGGGGTTGAGCCACACCCTGACCGTCGTGCAGGATCCACATCGAAGCATAGCGGGCGGCAGCGCGAGATCATGCTCCCTGGCCATCGATCGCACCTTGGCTTGTGTCTTGTACGCGTACATGCCCTCCTCCTTCTCTCCATCAAGGCCCTCAGCCAGCAGCTGGCCATCCCTCACGCGAGCTATGAGCGTGAGTTTCACCATCCGAGTCGTATCGCGTCGTCGGTGGCGAGTGAGTACGCAGCAGGCCCCGCCCCAAGGCACGCCTGTCGAACTTCGATCACAAAACCGACAGTCTGTTGGGGGTTTTCACGCGACCGCCTTGACCTTCTAACAATTCTGCGATAAATTAGTATATACTATTTGGATGCCTCGGGGCACGTCACTCTAACCAGCGTGACTGCTTTAATTTAGAATGATACAATCAGCTGGGTCTCGCGCCCTCCCTTTCGATGGCTTCCCTCATTGCTAACCCGAGAAGGGGTTGCTCAGAAAATAGATCAATCTAATACTCAACATGCAAGTAACATGAGCAGACTTACACATCAGTGTGTCTACAGACTCATAATATACAACACCACACACCTCCAGCAACCAGAGGCTCCTTAGTTTGGCCGGAACTTGAGTGAGACAGAGTTGACGCAATGCCTCTCGTCCGTGGGCGTTTTGAAACCCTGGCATACCGAGTATTTTGGGGATGAGCACGTCTCGTGGGCTTAAAGTCGTCCAATGTCACATGCAAAAAGTGCAGTTCTCAACGCTCATTGGCAGCAACAAGGCTCCAACAGAATGCTCACCTCCTTTTCAAAGACGTGGCCTAAATGCCCACCGCAGTTTTTGCAGGTGATCTCCACTCGCCGCATTCCCATGGAGACATCTTCGTGCCTCTCCACAGTCCCTGGGAGCTCGTCATAGAAGGCCGGCCAGCCACACCCACTGGAAAACTTGGTCTCACTCCTGTCAGTTGGAGGGGTTCAGCAGTGACGCCACTTGCACCACAGGCTCACTGCACACAATTCTGGCATGCAAGTTTACACATTCCAACGGCTCTCTTGGTGTCTCCAAGTGTCATCCACACACTCCCAGCCATGACTATACTTACGAGTATAGAGGAGCATCGCAAGCTGCACAGTGGAAGATGCCACCAGGTGTTATGGAGTTGTACTCTCCGCTGCCGGGTGGCTCTGTGCCCTTCTGCCTTAGGATACGATACTGCACAGGGGAATCAAGTGTTCATTTTACATGACTGAAGTTGATCGAGCGTCCAAACGTGCTCGGGGGACAGGCCGTCGCCAGCGTGGATGTTTCGCCTTCCCACCTGTGTCGGAGACAGGACCTGCTTCCAAACGCTGTCCGGAGTGGACTTATCCAGCTTCTGAGGAGCATCTGATCCCGACATGGCGGTCGTGGTGATGGCGCGGCGAGGTCTGAACGGTTTCACCAGCGTCGTGGCCGCGAGCCTGTGCCCTGCGGAGAACTGCAAGCCAGCTGGACTCAAGCGCATACCCAAGGATGTGAAACAGTCACAAGGGTATCAGGTTCTGCATTCAAAGAACTGAGGGTGTAGGCTCGTTGTTTTGCAGCGCCATAGTTTTGTGGTGGATCTATCAGGTCAGATCCGGGACCCCTGCGAGCGCGCGACGTGACCTCGACTCACAATGTAACCAGCAACTACCCATGTCGCATGCATGTAATCCAGTGATACGCATTTTGGGTCCAAAACTGTATGCGCTGCACTTTACATCAAGTCCCGCTTTGGTAGGTACCAGCAGATACGTCGAGTCGCATGGCAGTGCGCCTGCAGCAAGTCCTTCGACGCAGCCTACGACTGACGAGTCTCCAAGGTGAGTTCTGACCTTGGATGTTGTGTTTGTCCAGTAGGTCGCGATCATGATAGCTGAGCATGGAGTCTGACCGCCTTGGCCTTTCGAAAGGGTGAGAAACATGTCCCAACCCACTATCCTACTAAATGCCAGATAAATCCTCGGCATGCTGTTTGTCTAGTACATCTGCTGCACATCAGTCATCCAGTAATGCTGCAGCGGGTAGGCCGTGCGCAGGGTGTGCAGGGACAGGGCCTTGCCTGGGTGGGTGCATTCCCTCTCCGCTTCACATAGAGCAGCTGCTGAGCGCCCGACCACTTCAACACCCTGCAGCCACCCCCGAGCCCCTGCCCACTCACACGGCACGGTTCCTGGACGGGCGGGCGGCAGCAGCCGACTGGCACGCGGAGCTGGCGCGGGAGTCTGCGCACATCCTGAAGGTGGCGGGGCGGCGCCCCGGCCTCGGCGTGGTCCTGGTGGGCGACCGCCCCGACTCCAAGCTGTACGTCACCCGAAAACGGGAAGCCTGTGAAAAGGTGATTGGGTGGGCAACTGTGTGTGGGGGGGCTGGTGATCTTGGGGCCAGGCTGGAGGTGCAGCAAGTATCGGCTCTGAGTTTGCCAGGCCTTGACACTCTGCAGCGACACTGGCTTGTCTCACATCCAAGGGGCCTGGAGCGCCACCTGCCCTGTGCTTTCTGAGATTGAAGGGCATCTCCATGGTGATTGCTGCTTGGCACATGCATCGTGAACCTGTGCATGCAAGGGAACCCATGCTCCTGCCACCCTCCAAGTCCCTGCCCCACTCGTGCCACCCATGCCCAATCCCGCGTTCCCCCTCTTCCTCAATCAGGTGGGCATCTCGGAGCGCCTGGTTCAGCTTCCAGATGACTGCAGCATCGGCGACGTGCAGCGCGTGGTGGGTGAGCTCTGTGCCGACCCCGGTATCGACGGCGTGCTGGTGCAGTTACCCCTGCCGCCCGACATCTCCGAGGAGCGGGTCATGGAGAGCTTCGATCCCAGCAAGGACATCGACGGCTTCCACCCGCTCAATATGGGGTGAGCAATGTGTGTGTGTGTGTGGTGTGTGGTGGGGGGGTGGATAGCAGGCAGATCAGTGGGATTGGAGCCTGAGTCGGAGCGCAGGCAGCGGGCCCCATTTGATTCTCAGGATCATGTGACCCTGCACCTCAGTCACAGCTTTCGTTCCCCGTGCGCCTACTAGAAAGTCCTCCCAACTCCCAAGCCGTCGTGATGGCTGTTCTCAAGTGTCTTCCTCTCATCCCCCTCACCCCAACAAAACAAACATCCCTTCAGTCGGATGCTTATGCGGGGTCGCAGCACAGGCTTCGTCCCCGCCACGGCGCTGGGCACGCTGCGCCTGCTGGCCGCGGGCGGCGTGGAGCTGCGCGGCGCTTCGGTGGTGGTGGTGGGCGACAGCAACACGGTGGGCACCCCCCTGGCGGCACTCATGCGGGACGCGGGCGCGGCCTCGGTCACCGTGGTGCACCGCACGTCCTACTCCGCGCTGTTCGCGGACGCGCTGTCACCGCGCTTGGCCGCGGCGCGCGTGGCAGCGGCGGCCTGTGCGCCGCGCGTGCCGCCAGGGCCCTCGCAGGCCGCGCGCGCTGCCGACGTGCGGGAGGAGGCGCTGGAGCACCTGGCGGGCCTGCCGGGCATTACGCGCACCGCCGACGTGCTGGTGGTGGCGGTCGGCTACCCGCGCCTGGTGCGCGCCTCCTGGGTCAAGCCGGGGGCTGCGGTGGTGGACGTCGGCATCAACGTGGAGGGCGGCCGCGTGGTGGGCGACGTGGACGAGGCGGGGGTGGCGGGGGTGGCGGGCGTGATGACCCCCGTCCCCGGGGGGGTGGGGCCCATGACCATCGCAGCCACGCTGCACAACGTTGTGGCCTCCGCGCGGGACAGGCTGCTGGGTCCACGGGAGGTGCCCCAGGTGGAGCCCCTGGGGGGCCTACTGCGGCGGGGGGACCTGCACTATGCCTTCCCAGATTCGCGCACGTGACCGCGAATCCGCCTTCCGCCCGGGAGGTGGGCTCGCATGTAAGCCACGGCCCGGCAGCGGGGGGGGCATGAAACGCGGTCCAGGAGCAGCTATCCCATGGCTCAGGCCCCGTGCACGAATGTCTAGTGGGGAAAACGGGCAGTCCAAGTCGGCCCCGACCTTCCCGGACCAGGCCATGTATGATACAGTCCAGCGCCTCTTCGAGGAGAACGGGTGAGCGCCCTTGGGAGGGGGAGGAGCTCAGTAATGGTGGATTTCGCTGCCATATCCCGCCCCATGCTGGACGTCGGGCGAGCCCGGGCCCGTCGCACCCTCCCACAGGTCTCTGCTGCACCGAATACGGGCGCACCAGAATGCGGGGAGCTCGGGGGACCTGGAACGGAGTTCAAGCTTGATCCAGACACTGAACAAGAACATATTGCAGGTGTGAGAGCGGGGGGAGTGCCCCGCGGGCAGGGCTGTCATGTGGTTGGGTCAGTCTGGCTTACGAAACGATTCGAGGCCCTTCTCCGAAATCCCTCCGCCCTGCACCGCGCCCCATTTCCAGATCGTGGGCACGTATGAGGCGATATCTGAGCAGTACATCGCATTCATGCAGCAGCATGTACCCAAAGCGACCATCCCCGCGGGCAGCTGAGCACCCTTGCTTGCTGTTGAGCATCAGGACCCCACACCATACCCCCTTTTTACCCATCTGTAAGGCCCCCTCCACTGCTTTTGCTCTACTTTATTTCTCTGTTAACGCTCTATGTTTTTGACATGCCATGGGCCCACTGTAAAGCGCCATCTGGGTCCACAGAAGAGGCAGCTGCCTCGTGCTCAGCCCTCCTGCGATCGCAGCCGCATTTGCATTGCGTGCTGGAGCCGCGTCGTCATGTAACTATCCCGCAAAGGTCAAGTGAGCTGCATCTAGAGGACCAGGGCGCAGCTGCAAGAGGGGGGTTGCCGTGCTGATCTCTTGGGGGGCGCTTGCAGGGGACGCTGGGGTGCTGTGGTGCAAAAACACCATGCAGCAGCGTCTCAGGCTGGCTGCAGGCTCCAGGCCTTGGGCGCGAGGTCCTGTGCCGTTTCGCCGTCCCGACTCCTTGCCGCCTCGTCTGCGCCTGCCGCAAGGAGTGCTTGGTAAGCCTGCGACAGCGTGGGATCCTTCACAGTCAGCCGTGCGTGCACATGGCAGCGTCAAGGAGAGCATGAACCCTGTCCAGCAGGGGCATCATCAGGATCTCACGGCCATAGACTGGCCAGGGCATGAAAGGAGCAGCAGCCCAGGATCCGCGCAGGCGGCACGCACCTCCCGCTTAGATGCCAGCGCTGCGTAGTGCAGGGGGGTCAAGCCCTCGCCATCTCCAGCATTCACATTGGCGCCATGATCCAGGAGCAACTTGAGCGCCTGTGATTGGTAGGGTAATACCGGGCGATATGGGTAAAGAGGATGCATGCCCGTGTGGGGTTGTGGGGTTACCACCTGCAATCGTGGAGGCTGCCTCCAACGCGTGCACAGGTGCAACAGGCATTCGACTGCCATGGCCACGCCCAGCACAGCACCTGGAGGGAGCCCGCGTCAGCAGCTAGGTGGAGTGGTGTGCACCCTTGTCCATCACGGGCGTTGATGCAGTGCTCGCCAGCCTCAAGCAGGCGCTGCAGCACGACAGAGTCTGCCTCGCACAAGGCAGTGTGCAGCGGTCCCCCCTCCTGCATGTGAGGCAGTGTATTCCGGAGTGTCCATTGCTGGAGAGGACATGCAGAGCTAGAGCATGTGCTGCGGGCTGATCAACCCTGGCTCGGGTTGCCTCCCAAACGAAGCAGCCATGCATGCCGTACCTCGTCGTCTTCGGGCAGCTGCACCTCGTTGGTGGGGACACTCACGGACGGCGAGGCGTCTATGTACGTGGCGGCCTGCTCGCCTTCCGCAGGGCCTCCCAGCAATTCGCGGACCTTGATCACATACCGGTCTCGCGCTGTGGCGGTGTCAAGCTCGCCCAGCGCATGCCAGGCTCCCCATTTTTTGCGCCCCTTTATATCGAGAAATCCAGGTTTACAGGTGGTGCATGGCCCCACGCTCCCCTGCTTGTACAGGCCATACAGTGCCAAGAGCTCGTCATCGGGAACGCTGTTGCCGGCGGCGATGGCCAGCGTCAATTGCTCGGCCGCAGCCTCAAAGTGATCCTCGTCCGGCTCACCCATCGAGGAATCTGATCATTGAACCAAAAAAGATCAACATGGACGCAGATGTCCTCGGCACTGATTGCTGAAGGCCGGTGCGAGGTAATACGCGCCCTCTAAATCTTTCGCACCGTCATTCGGGTCTACATGAGTCTTTGACCGCAGGAACCCGTCCCCGAACCCAAACACCGGAGGCCGAGCCGCGGCAGGATCCGTTATTGAGTGACATCTCACGCCTGAGTCAGCTAAACGCCAAGGGAAATCGCGAGCGGGCGGGGGATCGCGAGAGTTCATGTTGATCTGGAGGTCCGGAGGACAGCATGAAGTCGTATGCTGCTCTACAATGTGATGGCAACCAATCCCAGAGGAACAAATGAACCTGTTCTGAATCGATACCAAGTTTACCTTTGTCACGTTGAGGAGGAGTGATCAAAGCTGAGATGAGCATTCCCTCCATGGGCAACCCAGACGCATTGCGCCTGGGATCAGCCATGCACCTCTCCAGCTTCCTAACAGAAGTCCTGTTGCCCCATGACATCATCGAGGCGGTCATGTCCTCAGACACCCTGCATGCTGCCTCCATATTGGACGCAATGAGTCTGGCTGCCCATCTGACACAGCAGCAGTTCCTGGCAGGGGTTCGGGACCACCCCTTCTTCACACCGGAACTCCCTCCCGAGGTTTGTGAGGCGAGTCACACCCTCCCCATCCTGGAAGCTTTGGTGATGGGCTGGACACAGGGCCTTGACGCTCTCCTTCACAGGTGCTGCCCTTGCTTCTGTGAGCTGGGGCTTCGGAGGTTGCCCCCGCTTGAGTCCTCGTGTACTGCGCATATTACCTTAGCCTGCAGGAAGGCTTCTGGCGCTCCGAGCATGGTTTGAGAGTTGCCCGCCCTGTCACCCACCAAGGTGCAGCCCTCGTCACGCGTATACAGGGACATTGACAAGGCACGTGAAGCCGAGCAGGTGGGCGAGTGTTCGGCTCTGCTCGCCCTCTGGGCCTCGCACGCATCGCAGATGGCATGCTGCTGTGCGGCCCTGTCCTCCCCTCCTGCATGTGCGGTGCTGGAACGGTTGCGTGGCTCCGCCAGCCCCCTGCTGCAAGCATTCGACGCACTGCTGCACGCGCTGAAGGAGGTGGGTGGACTGGCTTGAGTGGGCAGCTGGTGGGATGGCGGCGGCTCAAAGTGCAAGGCCACTGCATCAAGTACGATGAGTCTCGGGAATCAGGCACGGGTACCTTCACCACCGAATGCTCACACCACCCCCTGCTGTCCTGCTCCTGCTTCATACTCCCCCCCATCTATGCATGCTGACCGACAGGCGGCTGGTGGGCTGCAGAGGCATGCCCTGCTCCTGACCTGCCTGGTGCCGGCCCTGCAGGCGCTGTCGTCTGCCGCCAGTCCCCCGGACCTGCTCGCCGCAATCCCCGGGGTGTGGCTCAGGCTGGGCGTGATCGCCAGGCTACAGGGCCGCCGCTTCGCGCCCCGCCTCCTTCCCCTGGCCCAAGCCTGCGGGCGCGCCCTGGTCGCGGCCAGCGTCGGACTGGCGCCCGAGGGCGAGGCGGGCCTGAGGGAGCAGGTCGAGGCCTGCGCTGCCTGGGCCCGGGAGGGGGCCGCCCACTTCCCAAGGGGCGGGCCGCTGGCCCTCGCGGCCTCCTTGCAGCCGGTGGAGGAGCATGCCACGCGGTGCGGCCAGCGGCTGCGCGTCGCCGCCTGCGTCGCCCAGTACGAGGGCCTGGAGGAGGCACTGGCGCCCTTCCTGCACGGCAGAGCGAGCGGGCTGGAGCTTCTCAGGAGGATAATAGGTGACTTCAGGGCTGTGCGAGGTATGAGGCGGGACACCTACTGTGTTGGCCAGGGGAAATGTTGGGCGCTGCGGGCCAATGCCCCAGGGTGATCCATGCGCGGCCCACAGGGCACCCCTTCCTTGCCATCGCCGACATCCCCTGCGCTGACCCGCGCAGCCGGCCTCGCTGCCGCCCTGCAGCCGGCGCAGGGCGCCGCGGTAAGGCCCTGGCCAGAGGCGTACCGCGGCGTTGATGCTGCCGTGGGAGAGCTGGACCGGCGCCTGGCTGCCCTCGGCGTGGCACCCAAGCCCTGCTACCTCCCCGCCCAGCTCAGCCTCCTCGCGGCCTGCGCCCAGCGTGCTCAGCAGGGCTGTCCTCTCATGTGGGCACAGTGGGGAGGATGAGGAGGTGCTTGAGCAGATGCGATGGATTGGATCTGGGAGGTCGCTGGTGCCTGTGCTGCTCCTCGATGTTGTCAGGGCGATCCTTGTTGTGACCATTGCAGAGTGCTGCGATCCTTTCTGTGACTGCATGTTTAGGTCGCTGGCTCACTCCCCACCACCTGCTCTGCACCCCCTATCCCACCCCGTCCTGCTTTACCTCCTGCCTCCCATCCACGTCCCACCTCAAGCCCCTCCATCCCTCCAATTCTTTCTTCCACATGACAGGTCTGCCCTGGACCATGAGGTGCAGCAGTGGCATGCCAGGCTGGAGGATGAGGTGCATGCCCTGCTCCTCGGCGCCACCCGCTCGCCGGACTCTTCTCGAGCCCGCTGGCCCGGCCTGGGACCCCGGCTGTGCGCTGTGCGCGCTGCGCAGACCAGGGTGGAGATTCTCTGGCGAGCCTGGCGGCGCGTGCGTCGCCGGCTGGACGGGCCCCGGGGCATGGCCGCCGCCGCGCGCTCCGGCGCGGCGGTGGAGGCGGCGCTGGCGGCCCTGCGCCTCGCGGCATCCGGCCTGGTCGACGAGTGGGCACGGCAACTGGAGCGCCAGCTCCCGGGGCTCCAGCAGGACCTGCAGGGTAGCGTGCTGCAGCGTGTGCCGGCCACAGGCGTCCTGCAGCCCGGCCTGGGCCCTGACAGCAGACGGCTGATAGCCGAGGCAGCCGGCCTGGTGGTCATCGAGGCACCGATTGCCATAATAACAGAGGTCCGCGTCGCGGTGCCGGGGGCGCTGGAGGGCCTGAGGGCGGTGCGGGGGGCGTTACACGCCGTGCACGCCGCCAGGCGGGAGGCCGCCCCATTCCCGGCCGCCTGCCGACGGGCGGCCGCGGCCCTGGACCGGCGACTGCTGGCAGGGGTGGGGGCGCTGCGGTGGTCGTCCCCGGCGCACCAGCGGGCCTTCTGGCTCAGGGACGTTGCAGACCTGGCTGCCGCGCTGGGGGCCGCCGCTTCAGCCGCCCGTGCCATGCGCGGGGCCGGCGAGCCGGCATGGGGCTCCCTGGCACGCATGGGCTTCCTCCCCACGGGCAGGGATCCTTACTCTCAGGAGGACCTGCAGCGGCACATCGATCGCCTACAGGAGTGCATCGAAGACGGAACCCGAGCCGTGCAGGACGCGCTGAGTCAGCATGCAGGGTCGGACCCCGACATGGAAGGCCTGGCGCAGGAAGCCAACCTGGCATACTGTGGGGTTGTGGAGGGGATGGTGGACAGGGCGTGTGCTGCGATTGCTGCCGAGCGCCTGGCACCGAAGGGGGGAGAGACAGTACGGGACGGGAGGTGGGTCGTTGCACTGAAGAGGTGTGGGGGGGCAGGACCTCGAGGAGCAGGCTGTATCTTGGGAGTCAGAGCAGGGTGGTCAGGTACATGTTGCCATGCAGAACCCCATTTGCACCAACCCTGGGTGTTCCGTGATCATTCCCGCTGATCTGAAACTGGCGGGGAAAGGCATTCATGCTTGCGAGAACACACCATGCTCACCACCTTCCGACTTCTGGTACATCCAGGCCGAGCACAAGTTTGGAACTGCCACAAAAGCTCCAAATACAGGCTTACGGACATACTTTCATTGAAACACTGCGAACCCAATCATTTGTACGCAGGGGGAGGATGACATTGAGCTACGGTGCCGTGCAGGGGTCCCAGAACCGCTTTGAAGGCACCATCTGAATCCTGGGAGTGCAGGTGTTATGGAAAGAACTTGCTTCACCTCTCACATCTTATTGGCTCTCTTTTCACCCTCCAGGAAAGCGCAGGTGCAGCAATCCAAGCTGCGCACGACAAGTGGGATACCACATGGGCTGCTCTGGGCTCTAGTCAGTCGAATTGACAGCAGCTTGGGGCGCAAAAGGTGACAGTAACTGCTGGGAGGTTGCCAACATGTCCACCACTCTCGTAACCTCTTGGATTACGTACGCACCTTCGACAAAGCTCCATGCAGTCACGGGCAGGGTTCCAGCTATCTACAATTCCCATCCAGCAACTTGTTAAAGTAATAAATAGCCTTTTACATATACTCGTCAGCTCCCCCCCCCCTCCTAAGGCCATGTCGACGAAGGAGATCGAGCGTGCCCGCATCATCCCTGATGTCGTGGACGGCCTCGCGCACTCCAAGGTTCAGATCAGCGCATCTTTTGGTTCCATCCCGGTAGTTCTCGGCGAGCACATCGCCCCCAAAGATGTGAGCGGCGGTGGTGGCACGTCTCTGCTGTTCCACATTGGGTCCTGCACTTCTAGATCCTCGGAGGCATCATAGCGGGACGCATGACCCCTCGGTTCTCAAACCCACATCGCTGCTCCTTCCACACACAGTCTAGCAGCAAGCCCACGGTGACGATCTCGGGCACGGACGATCATGCGCTATACACCCTGATCGTGACTGACCCGGACGCACCCGATCCGGCCAACCCAACCAGGGGCGAGTATGTCCACTGGATCATCACCAACATCTCCAAGGGCGACATCAGCACCGGCAAGGAGATCCTGTCATACCAGTGAGTTGGGAATGAAGCTGCACACAGGGTTTGTGGACTGGGCGACATGGGCTTCTTGGTCCGTGTCTCGTCTCAATCTGACACTCATAGGGACCCCCTCAATCCCCTTACTACTCCAGGGGCCCCGCACCACCAATCGGGGTGCACCGCTACATCTTCCTGCTGTACAAGCAAGCCAGTGAGATCAGCTACGAGGCACCCGGGGCTCGCTTCCACTACAAGGTCAGGCAGGTGGCCGACAAGTATGAGCTGGGCGACCCCGAGGCAATCATCTACTTTGTGAGCTCCAAGTGAGGATGCCATGCACCATGCTGAGCGTTGTTTTTGTTGTAAGCAGAAAGTCCAAGCGGGCAGACAAGGGTTTGAAGTGGGGGAACAGTGGGTGAATGCATGATGTCGAGGGCACTTGGCGGGGCGTCGTGCGCTTCTCAGGAGCCCCCATTTCTCCTGACCAGCTCCCCTGACCCAAGTGTGCCTCTAAATGAACTGACGTCTTGTGTCAATGTCTTGCAAGTAACCATGTCCCAAAGACGTACACAGCACTCCTGCTAGCGTGGACTGGAAGAGCTGTATTCAGCACGACAAAACGCACGCCTGGAATCCAGCGCGTCACAGCAGCAGATCCTTGGACTCGGTCTCGTCGCTCACGCGCACTGCACGTGCGACGATCGCGGCCACATTGATGGAGCCCGCATTGGCTGACTCTGTAGACCGCTGGGCAGGGGACTCCTGGCGCTCCGCCTGGGCGGCGCCTGGTGACCCCGACGGAGGGTGATCCAGGTCGAGGAGGTGCGGCCCGGCATCGATCGCTTGCCTTCCAGGTGAACTGAGGACCGCTTCTGTGACTCCTGGGCTGGTCCCAGCTCTTGGTGTGTCCCTGCTCTCGGCCCGGACCACACCCTCCGGCCAGCCATGTGACTCAGCGCTCTCCCCTTGCCATCCTGTGCCTTCGCTGAACCCATCAGCGCCCTGCTCTCGCCCGCCCTCCTCCGACCCCGTCAGCTGGGCCACCACCGAGCGGGACAGGGCCTCGTACTGCAGGACCAGCTGCTTGTACCCCGCCAGGATGCTGTCCACATCCGCCTGCATATTAGAAAGGGGGACTATGGACGCATGCTCGGGATAGGACAAGTAGTGCGCCCCGCACAGCATGCTGCAATCCAAACTCGCCAGAAACGCCGCGAATCCAGGCCCCCCCTATGCGCACCAGGCTCAGGTCGGCGGCGGAGGCATACATGAAGGGGTACCTGGGCTGCAGCTGCCCGGCGGCTTCCGCGCGCAGCACCGCACCCACCCCGTCTGCAACCAGCTCGGCTATGAAGGGCGGCTCCCCCGGTAGTGTTGTCAACCGGTGCACCCGCTCCCATTGTTGCCATGAACCGCGGGCCAGGAGTCTGCAACAGGGATGGTTTCTGGTGGTGCTTGGGGTGTGGAGATAGAGAGCAGGGAGGGGCTGCGGGGGCCTCACCCTTGCATGATCTCCTTGGCACCTGACTCTCCAGATAGATAGGGGGAGATGGCGATGCCTCGATTTCCAGATTTTGCCGAACCAGCAAGGACCAATCACACTCACCCTATCTCCGAGGACTGGGAGTCCGATTCCAAGTCTCCAGTAGTCTTGGGCGCTTGGAGCGGGGAGGTTGCCACATCCAATAACCCAGCCAGCTCATCCTGGCTGCTCAGGCGGGGCAGGGTTTGGGTTTGCCCCCCCTCAGGCTCGTGCTCTGTGCCCGCCTCCAGGCTGGGTTCCCACCCCGGCAACCGTGCCTCGCTCGGAGCTTCCCTGGTTGTCGGGTCTTGAATGGGCCCCCTGCCATCACCCTGTGATGGTGCGGATCCCAGCGCCATACTTTCCAGTGGCCACACGCCGGATGGGCCCGCCGTCCCGCTGGGCGAGCATGGCAGGCTGGCCCGCTTCTCCAGCTCCAGGGCAGCTTCTGGAAGGCCGGCGGCCGAGAGGCGGGCCAAAAACTCCTCTCGGCTGATGTGGAGGTGCTCGTAGTTCACGGTGTCCAGGTACAGCGCCACCGACTCCTGCGATGCAGCATGGAGGGGGTGAAGGGGTGTGGGGTGAACTGGGGGATCTCGAAGGAATTGGAGCCTTGAATGGACCATCTCGCCCGCGAGGCCAAGCATGGAACTACATGCACATCACCATGCCCCCTGGCAACCCGCGGCCCTGCCTCAGTGCAAGGGCCCCCCTCTTGCTACCACGGATGCAGCCATTGGACACCCAGCCCCCAACACTCAGTTAATACATAAACCCCACCCAGGTACGCAAACACGCACACACCAGGTTTGCCAGCATGTAATCAAATTGGCCCCGCAGCCGGCTGCTCCCTCGAAACCGCTTGATGTACTCGATGGTGGAGGCCAGCCTCTGGGGACGCGCCTGGATGACGATAAGCAGTAGGACGGGGAAGAAAGCGTCGGCGCCGCCGATGCGCGCGCCCGCCGCCGCCGCCACCTGCACCAGGGACTCCGCCGTGGTCTTGACGTTGACCAGACACACCAGCTTGTCGCGAGGCGCCTGAATTTTGGGAGGGATTTTTGAACAAGAGATTTGCGTGGTCCCCTTTGCTGAGTATCTTGCCATGCCACCAGCTGCACTTCCTGGCCCGGGACCTGGCAGAGCCTTCAGGATGAGCGACTCAAGCTGCAGAGTCCCACCACACTGATATGCCCATTCTCTAGGTCAAAAGCACTGCAAACCACTTCATCTGCCAGACCAGACTCTCTGCCTCCCCCCACCCCACCTTGTACTTGTCCATCTTGAGCAACTCGCCGACGGCGACCTTGAGGAGGGCCGGGTCGGGTTCGACCCCGGAGGAGCCCATCAGGGTGTCCAGGGAGACGAAAGAAAGGGCGTCCAGGATCCGAGCGCAGCGCTCGTCGCGCTCAACGTCCTCGGGCGAGGTGGCAAAGGTGAGGCGCCAGACCTTGCTCATCAGGTACTTTTCCAGACCCTGCCAGGAATGAGGGGGAGGGAAAAAACTGAGCACGCACAGCTCCAGGGCATCGCCGTACTGCAGCCCACCTGGCGTACAGGTGGACGAGTGCCGTGCAAGCTGGGGGCTGGGGTTTCCACGTTCATGCTCAGCGTGTCGGACATCCAATCAGTCACAACTCATGCCAGGGTAAGGGAGTCATGACCATGTCACCACCAGCCATGCGCCCCTCACCTCCACTGCCTCATCCAAGACCTGGGGCGCACTCCCCCTCCAGACGGGGTGGACCCTGAAGAGCTCCTCCGATTGCGTGAGGAATGCCTGGCAGAGCGAGCGATGCGGTAGCAGGGGGGCGAGGAGTGATGTGTATATCGGTGGCCGTCCGCAACCGTCAGGCTTTCAAGACGCAGGGTACTGCGACTGCGGATTGCACACAAAGTGCCTAGAAGCGCCGCCTCTGTGCCCTCAGTTCCACAACCGTCATACCTGCACACGTGCAGAATCGTCTTCTGCTGTGGCCTTGCCTTGACTGTGCCGCTCCTCAAAGTCCTTGATGAAGCTGCACCACAGCGAGGATGGTAGCGGATTGATCGAGTTCTGGGACTTGTCATTCCAGCATTGTTGTTGGCAGAGAGTGCTAGAACCACTTCCCACCTCTTCACGGTTCTGACCAGGTTGGCCGCTGCAGGGTCCTTCATCTTCTCCAAAAAGTCGGTGAAGGACAGGGGGGAGGTGCCCGTGTCCTCCTCCATAGCGTGAAAGGCTTCTTGATTGCACTCAACACATCCACTTCCGCCTTCAACTCCCGACCAGGGTTTCGGCGTGGTGCGTTCCCCCACGCACACCTCCTCTCCCGTGTCCAGCCCGTGATCCAGAAAACACGAAGCTCGATCTCGCGTCGCAGATTGGTGTGAAAAGTTACAAGCGTTGTATGAGCACAGGGTCTCGGTCGCATGGCGAAGACTTCGCGATCGCGATCGCGCGCGCGCGCCGGGGCTCACCGCCTGCCCACTCTCGTCTTCCTGGGGTTGCCGGACGCTGTGGGCGCCCCCGCCCCAAACAGCCCCCCCCGCCGGCCCGAAGAGGCCCTGTGCGGGCGACCCACCGGGCGCGGCCCCGCCAAAGAGGGACGGCCCGCCCTGGGCCCCTCCGGCGTTCGATGCGGGGAGCAGCGCCCCCTGGCCGGCCCCCGCCTCGCCGCCCGGGCTGTGCGCGCCGCTGAAGGCGGCGGCGGCCCGCGCCTCCGCGGCCCTCTCCCCCTCCCTCTCCCTCGCCGCGGCGCGCTCGAAGGGGTCGCCGTAGTCCCCCGCGCGCCGCGCGGCGGCCAGGCACGCCGCCTTGCGCTCCGTCACGCCGTCGGCCAGCGCCTGCAGCCGCGCCGCGGAGGCCAGCAGGCAATCCTGCAGGTTGCGCAGCGCACCCTCGATGCCCTCGGGCCCCGCGAACGCTGCCCCCGCCGCGGCCGCCTCGCCCTCGTCGGGCAGCACCGATTGCAGCGCGCCCAGCGCGCGGCGCAGGCTCTCCACCTGGTCGGCGTAGGACTCGATGGAGGCCGCCAGGAAGGGCGAGGGCAGGACCACGCCCAGCCCCAGCTGCTCCACCAGCGCGGGGGGCAGGGGCTGGCCTGGGGGGAGCTGCGTGGCGGAAGGAGAGCGCGCGTGTGTGTGTGCTTGTGGAGATGCATCTGTGTGGGTCTGGGTGCTGGAGCCCTGCACAGGAGCAGCTGCGTGGACAACACCCGACCAGTTCTCACAGGGAGCAAGGCGGAGCCAAACGCGGGCCAGCGCCACACGTCTTTCCTCCCACACCTGTTCCATCCGACCAGGCCGACACACCCGCCCCGGCTCTCACCTTGGCGGCCTCCCGCCAGGCATGCGACCTCTGGAAGGCGTGCAGCGTGGACTCGGTGCTGCGCAGGAGGTGGATGACGTGGTCCCTCACCGCGTCGCTCGCCGACTCGTTGGCCTTGATCCGGCTGGCCAGCGCCGCAATGTCCTGCGCGGAGGGGCAGTGGGGATGGGGGGGAGCGACTGGCAGCGGTTGGGGTGCACGGGGCGATGCGCCGAGCCGGCAGCCGGGCAAATGCGTCCCGGGCCCGGCGGTCCTCCCGGACCCAGCAGGGGCATGGCGGGGGGCCGACGCCTCCTCCATCCATGCGCGCTCGGCTTCGTGCCAGGGCACTTTGCGGCACCACTTCACCCTGTCAGAGGGGCGCGGCGGGACCGCCCCGCACCTGCTCCAGAGCCGCGCTGGTCTCGGGCAGGCGCTGCTTGGCGGCGGCCGGGTTGCTCAGGCGCTCGTCAGCGTCCAGCACCGCACAGTCCTCCCGCAGGCGCACGATGAACTTCCTGGAGGGGGTGGGGGGAGCGTGGCGAGGGGGGTACTGCTGGGTATGCCCGGGCAGGGGGTTCAGGTGGCAGATGGTGCGCCAGCACTCAAGCTCAAGCTGCTACCGCAACGAATCCCACCCACACCCACACACGCACTCTAGCTCCAGCAGCTGGTTCTGGGCCGCAGGGCTGATGTCGTCCCACTTGGTGTTGTGCCCCAGCGGCCGGCCGTCGGTGGTGAGCAGCGAGGTCGCCGCCTGCTGCGCCTGTTGCGCATTTGGCCCCCCCCCAAAGGGCGTGACGGCGGTGCTGGCGCCACCGAACAGCCCGCCCCCGAAAGCAGAGGCTGTCTGGGCTTGAGTCGGCGCGGCGTTGAAGGAGAAACCGGGCGTACTGCTGGCCCCAAAGGCCGGGGCCGACCCGAACCCGAAGGCGGGGGTGCTGCTGGCCCCAAACAGGGATGCGCTGCTGGCCCCGAACGCCGGGGTGCTGCTGGCTCCGAATGGGGAAGGGCTGCTGGCCCCAAAGGCCGGAGCATTGCCGAAGGAGAACGCCGGGGTGCTGGCTGCGGCTGTGGCAGGAGTACCGGCCCCAAACCCAAAGGGCGTGCTGGGCGTGCCGAATGCAGGGGTGGAAGCCCCGGTGTTGCCGAATGAGAAGGCCATAGTGAAACTGGGGGATTTCAGACTCTTCACCGCCTCCTGCGTGTGCCTGTGGCACCCCAAGCCAAGCGGGCAGGAGTGAGGTGTGGGCCTGCCGGCTGCCTCAACTGACGCGTCACCTGGCGCGTGCTTCCATTCGATCGCGCAGGTGCAGGAGCATGTGTAATTTTTAAAAGATGCAGGCGATTGCAATCATCGCGATCCTGACCGCTGTACCCCCCCGTGATTTCAGGCCACCTCATCAGGTAGGACGAGCACGATTCGAACATGGCGCGCGATTCCTCAGTAAGCCTGGTCTTGCTCGCTGCACTGCGGATACACTGTGTTGGCATTCTACATGCAATCATTCGTAGATCCAGGGCGTGACGGTGGGATCGTACTCCGCCAGCTCATCGGGGCTGAACCAGAGGGCGATCTCCCGCTGGGCGGAGTCCACGGAGTCGGATCCATGCACAATGTTCCTCCCCAGATCGATGGCGAAGTCTCCTCGGATGGTCCCCGGGGCAGATGCCAGCGGGTTGGTGGCTCCTATCATGGCCCGGCCCGTCTTCACGATGTCCTTGCCCTCCCAGACCATAGCCACTACCGCGCCAGAGGTGATGTGCCCCACCAGCTTGGGGAAGAAGGGCTTGCCCTCGTGCTCGCCGTAGTGCACGTTGGCAATGTCCTTGGAGGGCACCAGCACCTGCATGCATGAGATGTGGTTGAAGCATATGGACATGGGGACCCCATGGATGGAGATGCATGGAAATCCAACGTATGCCACCCCGTCCACCACCCGTTGTCCCCACCTTGAGCCCGACCAGCTTGAATCCACGCTGCTCAAAGCGCTTGATGACCTCGCCGACGAGCGCGCGCTGCACACCCTCGGGCTTGACCTATCATGCAGGGCGATACACGAACATCAAACGGAGGGTTTCGCGACTCATGCCAAACCCAGATGGACCTCCTTACAGTACCTCTGGCCAATGCTGCCCAAGCACTCAGTCACCAGGCATTGGACTTCCAGGCACAACCCACCAGGCATCCCTTCACTGGGCACCCACTCACCATGATGAAGGAGCGCTCCTGGTTGCTGGCAGCCATTGCCACGGTGGTGCCCACTGCAGAAAGCAGAGAATATGACCTCAGAGGGAGTCTTTGGTCGGGCATTGATCAGGCGGGGCATATGGAATTATTTTCCGAATTCGCACATGCATTCCAGGCATGCACTGGACGGGTGCATCTCCATCATGGCATGGGCCCTTCCCTTTCCCCACCCAGCCACGCTGCACTCACTGCCGACACCCATGGCGGCCAGCAGGGCCGCACGGCCCACGCGAGGCTTCACTGCAGCCTGAGTCCATGTGCTGTAGGCTGTCCGAGAAGCGCCGACCAGCACGCCTGATGCGATGGAGGAGGGGTTGGTCAGCCTTCAAGACTCTCTACTCCACTGATGGGGCAGAAACCCAAGGAGCAACTCGATGGGATCGATCACGCAACCAGAGCACGACCCCCAACACCCAGTTGCCAGGAAGATACATGCTCCAGCATCGTGAAGGGTAACACCTGCTGCATTGCTGCTGGACGCCCTGCGGGCCACCCGGGCGACGCTCCTGGCTGCGGCGCGCAACATGACGGTGGGGGTCCTGGTGCGGGAGTGTACCGACGTGCTACACTGGAGCACGCGCATGAATGCCTCGGATCTGCGTCACGCTGTGGCGGAACGCGATTTCGGTGTAGGGGTGAATGGGACGGAGAGGGTGAGCTTGGCCGTACCGGGCCACCGTAAGCCACGTCGGAAAGGACGTCGAGCAATGTCTGGGGTCTCTGAACCTTACAATGCCGCTTTGCGGACCGACGTACATGTCATGGCATGCCAATGCGGGTTCAGCATGCGGGTACTGGTGCGGACGGCGCAAAGCGGATAAGCTGCCGTTCCATCCACCACAGGAGGTGGGTGGTGAACTAAGGGAAATGGCCAAGACGGGCCGGCGATATGTCTGAGCTCCTTCCAGATTCCTTGGCAGATTAAGACGAGCAAAGCACTCAAAAGACTGGCTGCACGGCCTTCACTTGGGTAAGGACCTGGAGTGGAGAGAGTGCACGGTGGAACAGACTGAGAGGAGGCCATGCTACGCCAGCATCTTGTGTTACTACCCCTAAAACCGCACACAGCTGTGTCATGAGTTCCTTTTTGAGGCTGCAAGACACCAACACGGAACCCTGTGGCCTTGCCTCATCAAATGCGGCGTCAAAGCCATCCTCCTCGGTCACAGCAGGTGCCCCCTTGATCGGCTTGGGCAGCACTAGCATGCAGGATGTCGGCCGCTTGGTCAATCTGCAAACAGGAGCAGGGGCGGGGGTTTTGAGGGGAGCCGTCGGTGACGCCACCCATTCCTCCTTACACATGCAACGCTGACTGCGAGCGCTCCCTCTCCACAACCCAACACACCCTGCTGCTCCCAGCTCCTCCTTGGAGGGCACATAGATGTAGGGGATGTCGGCGTCCTCACACAGCACGGGCAGCGGGGTGATGACGTCGATGGGGGAGATGTCGCCCGCGATGATGACCACGCCCTTGTTGGCCTTGCGGATGGCCTTGATCACCTCCTTCACCCCCCTCTTGATCTGCTTCCGCTTGGCCGCCTTCTTCGCCAGCTTCAGGACCTGATTGAATTGTGTGGGAGAGGGACTGCATTGAGCGAGGTCAATCAGTGGTGCATGTCAAGACTGTATCTCAAGGCGTCATTACAAGGGTCCAGTGGGGTTGCATGTATGAGTACCATACATGCCCACCTGGTCATGAAACTGAAAAGTGCCAGGAGGTAACCTGCGCCCGCAAGCCCATCCTAAATCATTCAACACCATACCTTCTTGGCGAGCTTCTCGTTGGCCAGCGGCTTGGCAATGGCACACACATTTGCACGCTTGAACTCATCTGCAGCCTCCAGGGCGGCAGTGTCTGCAACCACCACCGTCTTCTCGGCCTTGGGTGTCTTCACCTTCTTTTCCTTCTTCTCGCTCTTGTCCTTTGCCACTGCGGGCGGACCGGAGGCACGGGGTTGCAGCGGGTGTGCAGGCATCTGGTAACCTTTTAGACAGCGACGCAGCCCTGGAACATTCCCCATACACCGTTAATCTCTCACTCGTGTACTGGGCTGCGTTCAATAACCGAGAGGGTGACCTCCGCTCTGGAGCCAGCGAGCCACCGAGTGGGATGCGCGGAGGCGCTGGGACTCCACAGCAGTGTTTCGCCTCTGCAGGTGTTCCAAAGGTGTGAAAATCAAAGTTGGTGTGTCGAGCACCCCGTGTTAGCTCTCGTCAAGGTGTATCGCAGGAGCTCCCGTGCCCAGCCCGCATGCAGGGCGCCAAGAAGGAGTTGGCACATCAACCCGCGACACCCCCCCTCTCCTCCCGGCATTCTGTGATGTTTTTTAAGATTACCAAGAGCTTCACCGCACCCGAATGCTCTTTACAAACTCCGAAGAGCTTTCAATGTTGTCGAGGACCCTCCAGCTGTCTTTGCCCTTGCAACGCGCTGCAAAGTGATCCCCAGCAGCGCGCAGGAGCGAGGGCCCATGCCAGCCCCACGGGGCCCCAGGGCCCCAGACTCCTCCCTGGTGTCTCGACTCAATGCCACGATCCAGATGCGCCCCGCCAACAATCTCATGCGCGTGGACAAGTACTACAGGTCCGCTGACTTGCTGGACCGTCAGGTGCGTGGGGACAGAAGGTGGGTGAAGGCCGCTCGCACCCGGCTGCAGAAGGGGCTCGGGGCTGAGGCAGTCCTGCTCAAACCTCCTATGCCTCTGGTGCAGGCCCGCCAGTACAGGCGGCAGGCCAACGAGGAACAGCTGTATGTGATGCTCATGCGGCTGGTGAGCCTGGTGGTGGAGACCATCCCTCAGCACAGCGGCTTCCACCGTGAAGACCCCGTCTACCAGGCCCTGCGCAAGGTAGGGCGAGGGCTGGGTTGCCGCGGTGTTTGGTCTCTTTTGTCAGGGATGCTGTTTAGTTTCTTGCAGGGTGCAGGGGGGACGAGAGGGACATCAAGACATTCTCCGATGACCTCAGGTGATCGCTCCCTCCTCTGAGCAGCTGCCGAACCCCCGTCCTGGCTCTCTTACGCCCCTCCAGGCGGCAGGAGCCTCCTGCCCCTCGCCCAGTGCTCAAAGCACCACATCCTTGCCCATGGTGTCCACCCCTCCCATGCCAGATGTGCCTGTTCGAGGTCATGCCGGAGCTGGAGCGATTGAAGCTGAGCCTGGACCTGAAGGACCGCACCTCCCGCCTGTTTGAGGAGGAGCCCTGGGCCCCCACCAAGCAGCCAGGCACAATCCGGCTGGCGGCGGGGAACATGCCAGAGGTGCACTGGCGGCCCCACGGCGGCGAGGCCGTCGGCTCCGGTGGCGCCGGCCCAGTGGATGCCCTGGATCAGCGTGCCCACGGCGCCGCCCCCCCCCTCGACCCTTTCCTCCTGCCCGGAGCGGCCGGCGCCGCGGGACTCACGTCGGCGGGGCTCACCTCCGCAGGGTCTGGAGCCGCCGCGGCCCCCTTGCCCGCCATCGCCGATCTGCGACTCGACCTCCCGCGCTCGCTGCGGCTGCCCGCCGCCTCTGCCGCAGCGCGCAGCCGGCACGCCATCCTGCCCTCCTGGCAGCAGCCGGCGGAGGCGGCGACGCGGGATGCGGGCCCTGTATCGACGCAGACCGGGCAGCGGGCCGGCCTGTACCCCGCCCTCCCCGCCGACCTGGCGCAGCTGGACCAGAGCACCGGACCGGGATCGGGTCCAGACCAACGCCCCCCCGACCCCCTGGCCGACGCCGTCCTGGGACTGGGGCCGCAAGAAGTGGGCGTGGAGTTTGTGGCGGGGCCCACCGCCCCTCCGCGGCCAGGGGAGTCTTGCTGCACCGAGCCGCCGCCGGCGACGCAGACCGTGCCGGCCGTCGGGCCGGCCACCACGGGCGTGGCCGAGGTGGCCAAGCGCCAGAGCGTGCGTGACGTGCACGTCTCCGTGGCCCTCATGGACGAGTTTCTGAGGTGATGCGGCGGTTGGTTGATGGGGCGGAAGGTGGGGGGGGCTTATCTCGCTATGAGGCCGGAAGACCCCGCCGTGATGCCCCTGCGTCCCGTGGACCGGCGCTGGCCTGCCTGGGCCAACCCTGCAAGCCTGCTGGGTGTGATCTGTCCCAAGGGTCGTCGCCCACTCAGCGCCACGCCGATGTTCCAGGGGGGAGCTTGGATCAGGCCATGCTCTGCGCCTGCCTTTGCCGTCAACGACCCTCGGGACATGCCCACACCATCCCGCCCTCCCTTCTCACTCTCCCCTCACCTCCGCCAGGTATGCCACCAGCAACACGCGGCGGGGCATCGAGTCCTGCGGCATCCTGGCGGGGACGCTGTCGGTGGATGACGCGGTGTTCACCATCACCACCCTGATCGTGCCCAAGCAGGAGGGGACCAGCGACACCGTCCAGGTACTTGTGTTCCTGGTTTTCTGCAGAAAGGGTGTCGGCCTGGGCCGATCAAGCACGCCATTGTTCATCCATGCGCCTGGGCGCATTGACCAGATTGGGAAGTCGAGGCACCTCGACTACGATAGGCACGCTTCATGATCCTGTTTGTTGGCCAATCCGTCCCCGTGCCTTTTCAATCCCCAACTGGACCTCACCAACCTACGTACTCCCAGGCGCTGAATGAGGAGGAGATCTTCGAGGCCCAAGACTCTCGGGGCCTGTACCCGTTGGGCTGGATTCACACCCACCCCACCCAGACCTGCTTCCTGTCCTCCATCGACGTGCACACCCACTGCGGGTACCAGGTGGGGCTGGGGGGGAGAGAGGGGTGCTGGCAGACCAAGGCATGGCCAGGCCGTGATGCCGAGTGGCTGTGCTCGCTGCAATGGGCAAGGGGCCCTTGGTTTGGACAGTGATATAGAGGGGATTCGCTGGTGGCAGATGCAGGTTGCTACCAGGACCACTGACATCATCTTTACCCCGTCCTGGCCTTGAACCTTGTCCCCCACCCTCCCGGGTCCTCCATGAACGCCTCCCCCATCAATCCCCGCCCATCCACGACCCATGCAGACGATGCTGGACGAGGCGGTGGCCATCGTGATGGCCCCCCGCGACCCCTCCAAGCGCGTCGGCATCTTCCGCCTCACCACCCCCGGCGGCCTCAAGACGGTGCAGCGCTGCGACCTGCGCGGCTTCCACACCCACCCGCCCACCGCCACAGGCCAGCCCCTGTACGAGTTCTGCAAGCACGTCTACCTGAACCCCCGGGTTGCCTTTGATGTGGTCGACCTGCGGTGACGCGATGGCGGCGGCGGAGCGGTGGTGGGATGTCTTGCTGCTCGAGGACACGCCCGGGGAGTGGTGGTGAACATACGAATACTTCCCGTCACCTGCCTCCCCCAGGGACCTTCATCACTGGAGTGCCAAGGCCCTCTGTAATGAGGTTGCCAGGCCCTGGCTGCGGTGCAGCCTCCCCACATCCTGGGACCTGTCATGTATACATGTTGCCGTGAGCAGCTGGTCAGGTGCAGAGGAGCGAATGGTCGTATACGCAGAGCCTGGTCCCCTGAAAACTGGGTGCCTGGGCAATGCAGGCTGGGGTGATCCATGGATACTGGGTCGGGGCGGGTGGGTCGTGCGGTCTGGCACATCAGCCAGCCGTCCTCCCTCTCGTACGGCCTCCACCGCTCCGGCCCCCAAGCCCTCAGCGCCCGATGACGGCGTCCAGGCCGGCCCGCTGCTCCGGGGGCACCAGGGCTCGCGCCTGGAGGAACGCGCGATCGGCGTCCACACCCCGGCCCTGCTGGCGCAGCAGCAGGCCCTTGGCCAGCATGGGCCGCGCGTCGTCGGGGTGGGCCTCGATGAGCCCGTCATACAGGTGCTTGGCGTCCAGGCTGTGCCCAGGCCAGCTCGCCAGCACGCGCCCGCGCGCCAGCTGGGCGTCCAGGGAGGAAAGCACGGAGAGCGGGGCCGAATCGATGCGCTCCAGGGCCTGCATGCATGGCGAGGGCAGGGGGCTGATGGTTTGCTGCTGCACTGAGGGGAGGTGAAATCGGGAGAAAGAAGGGAAAGGGAGTGATCGGGTGGACCACCAACCCCGCAGCAGAAACCTGTGTCACTCCACAGGCTGCCATTCGAGTGCCCCCTCTCCACACCGCCACATGTTGTGCTTGTTGGCCCACCGCGGCCCGCCTCCCAGCTCTCTCCAAGTCCTGGCATGCCCCAGTCAGACAAGGACTCTCCCCACAAAATCATGCAAAGGCACCTGCCCACCTGCTCGTGCCGGCCCTGCTTGGAGAGCAGGGTGGTCAGGCGCCCCAGCACTAGGAGGTCCGTCCTCCCCCCCGCCTCCCAGCCCCGGACGTAGGACGCCTCCGCGGCCTGCCCGTCCCCCAGCTCCTCCTGGCACTCGCCGAGAAGCTGCCAGGCGGCCGGGTCGCCCGGGTTTTGCTCTGTCAGCGTCGTCGCGCTGGCGGCAGCCGCCCGGAAATCGCCCAGGCGCCCCGCGATGGTGGCCGCCGCCTCCAGTGCCTTCACATCCTGGGGGTTGGAGGACAACGTGACCTGCTGCTGCTCAAGGGCGGCCTCAAGTGCGGAGCGCTCTGGGCCGGTGAGGGTCTGCTCGGGGCGGCCGGCTGAAGAGGAGGTCGAAGGGCCGGAGGGCGAGCCGCCCCCAAAATCGACGCTGGTGAGGATGAAGATGGCGCCGATGGCCACCGAGGCCACCGCCAGCAGGATCTGATTTTGAGGGAAGAGGAGGAAAGGGACAATGTTGGGGGCGGTTCTATTGGTGTGAGTGCTGGCAGGGAACCCAGGCTGCGTAGAGAACTATGCGTTGAGGGCCGAAGTGTATGCATCCCACCGTCTATCGTCCCTCCATCCTAGCAACTGGGCGGTGGCAGTGAACACCGCAAGCACCTTGGGAGGTCCGCCGCCGAGGGATTTATACTCCCCCTCCGCCTCCGGCGCCTTATTCAGCAGCGTGTTGAGCAAAGGGGGGGGTGGAGTCGTAGTTGGGGACAGACCCAGACCTCTCCGGCTCCTGAGGGTGGTTGGGATGCAGGGGAGGCATTCGAGATATTGACAAGAGTGCTGAGAGTCTAGGGTCGTGAATAACGACGCAGTTGAGGGTTTTCAGTACAGATTGCGCTTCCGTGATCAAGTTGGAGAACGAGCACACTGGAGCTCCTGACCTGCTTGGACGCAGCTGCGGCTGACGTCTGGTTCCGCAGAGAGTCCAGGCGCCGCTCAAACTCTATTGTCTCCATGATGCCACTGCAGTGAATGTAAGGCACAGGGTCAAGGACAAATTACGCATTTTCATTGGCTTGCTATTACCAGGGTAGTCCTATCACATCTACCAACAACCATACCTGTCTCCCTCGGCTGGGGCACTTGGCCGGGTTTCCGTCTTGCCCGGGGCAGGTTCCTGCTTCTTCTGCTTCTTGGGCCGGCTGGCATTGGCGGGTCCCGCCTTTACAGGTGGAGGGGGGGGCGCAAGCTTCGGCTGCATGGAGCCAGCAATGATTTGAAGAGGTCAGGGCATGAACCACATCATTACTGCCCTTCCCATGCACACCTGTTGCTTCCCAAAGCCCCCGCCACCCGCACGCGCGATGTGCGATATGATGGAGTGTTCTCGATGCCGGATCCATTGTGGGCACTTCCCAAATATCGCGGCTGCCGCGCATGCTCCCCTCCGCGGCGAGGACGACGCTGGGGTGCATGACCAAGCGTGCCTGATCCCCCTCATCACCCTGCACAGCGCGGAAGATAGCGTTATATAAAAACGGTTACGGCGGCGAGAATGTACATTCTCCATGCGAGGCATGCCCACACTAGATTTGGGGATCAAGGAGTACCCATCTCAGGCCACCATTTCTATTGAAGCAAACTTACGAATCCCCGAAGAGATCCTGCCAGCTACTACTGGCGACAGCCTATTTACATCATGCTTTTACCTTTTAGCTCGCAATTTATGCGGAACGTGCCCGAGACAACCGACCCCAAATTTGGCATGTTCGCCAGGGCCGAGTTGGTAGCCGCGGGGGCTACAGAGCATGATACGCACCACGTTTAGCCACTTAGACCTCAAGTCATAATTCCCTTGGAGCGGGTGGATGAGTTCCTGCCGGGCGAGGGCCGCAGCTTCAGGTTTACCTGCAATCACACCACCCGTCGCTCCGCCCTGGTCCACACTTAAAAATGACACCCCCCTAAAGCCGACTCTGGCGAACCCCCACCCGGTTCTCCTCCTCGCATTTACTCGAGATTCTCAACAAACACATGACTGAATTTTGCGTCAACCATAAAGGGTGCGCCCGTAGTCCGGGCAATTCCTACATTATCAAGAATCAGGCCATTATAGTGTCATGTGGAGGGTATCTGTATCCCTGGCGAGTAGGCGTCCCAATGTCCAAGGGTTACATGCGAGCAGGTCGCATCAAACGGTGAATGGTGCTGCGGTACGGCAATTATGTCCCAAGTTCTATGATTGCTGTGGACCTGGGAACAACACAGATGACCATCGCGGAGGAGAGAAAAAGGAGGAGCATGCTGTGCATGTTGGGCGATCGCACATTGCTCCGTGGGCATGGGCGTACTCCATGACAGGCTTGGGTCGAGGATATGTTGGTTGCGCCCAGCCTGCCGCGGGGACCATTAGATTTCTGCGTGGGATTCATCTCCCAATCTCCCAGAAATAAGTACTCGCGTGTGCATTAGGAGGGTGAGGGCATGCCTGGGCTGCTGGTATGGGTCTGTCCGAGCTGGGGTGACTGGGTTGGTGCATCCTTTGGCACATATGTTCATGTGGAAAACTTGATGGAGGAGCAGAGGCGCAGCACCGCTGCAATACATGGCGGCACAGTGGCCACATGCCATCAAGTACCGAGCGCATGCAACTTTCTATGGGCCTGGCCTTCGTGACAAATTGGTGGTCGCAGTGAGACACCCTTGCAGATTTCAACGTCCTGAGATCCCTGGCATGATACTATCATACTAAAGCGCTGGGTTTGGGGTGCTTAGTTCTGAGCAATTGAGCGTGGTGCTGTTCGACATTGCAGTAGGGCCTGGGGCCATGCTGGCCCTTGAAGAGCAGCTTCGGAGTGCGATGTGGGTGATAGTCTGGCGTGACGTCGAACCTTACCCGTCCATCGCCCGAGGTGAGATTATTTACTGAGTGGAATACCCCAAGATGACTTTGAGCGTCAGTTAGGGCAAGCGCAACATCCTTTCACGCTCATGTACGGGTTGACAACCTCCTGGAGGCAGGAACCCGGGCGAGGCACGGCTGTATGAAGGATGGGTAAAAATGTCCGGCTGGTACCTAAAATGGGGGATAGCATCCGTATAGAGCACGAACCACCCAATCAGTCCTTCTGGAGTGACGATTCTCCGCAGAGCATTTTGAGGTTGTCAGCAGGTCCACATCAAGTGCAGCCGGAAACGCTGTCACCGCGTCGAATGAGGGCAACCTTCATTGATTGTGAGGGATGGGGTTGAGAAAAACGTGAGTAATGGATCTGAAAAGGATGGTGCCTTCGTGCGTGCTTTACTCCGGACTCGACGGGCTAGCGCTTCAATCATGGTGGCAGGTTTGTGGACCTAGACCGGCAGGCACACTCCGGACTCCCGCCGCGGAATCTTTGAAGCCGCCCAGGTCCAAGCTGACTACGACGCACAGTTGATAGGAAGCCTGTGCACGGGCTAGGATTCATCGTATTACACGTCAACCCGTGGTATGTGTGGTTATAATGAGCCTGCACTTCATCGAAGGGGTTGCACCTCCTTCCCACCGCACACGTAACTCGTACAGGCGGAAGAAAGAAGTTGCTGAGGGGTGCAGGATGCCAGCGGCGGGCAGGAACCCTGCCGTCTTGATTGGACTGATGCTGCTGCTCGCCAGTTGTGCCTTCGCGGTGAGTCCCAGTGCACTCAGGCCGATGACGATCCCATATCATCCACGCTGCTACACCGCGGCGTCGCTTACTTCCCCCTACTCTCCCATCTGAGCGCAGGCTCCGTGCAGCTCCACATTCATCGCGCTTCCGAGTGCAATGTGAGCTGAGAGCTGGTTTCACGACGGGAATCGTGTGCTGCACGGGCGACGTTTCTGTCCGCACGGACCCCTTGCGCACATGGCTGCCGCCGGAATGCGGTTTTGTGCGCGTCGATACCCAGCTTCCTGAGGGCAGCCCACCCTGCTTTCCTCGGACATGCACAAACACAGAGCCTTCGACTGTGCCTTTTAGTAAGGCACTGTACGCCTATTCTCTGACCTCATGCCGCACATGCTCGCCTCCTTGCAGTCTGGGAGCCCATGTGTACCTCATGACAGTTGACGACGCCGACGCCATCTGCAGGTGGGCAGCATGAGAGGGGTTATGAAATCCCAGGCTTTGCTTGCAAATCAGTGGCCTGGCCACGAAAAGCCATCCTGAGGCAGGCATAGCCTCTCAAGTGCACCAAACTGTACAAAACCCTGTGGATGCACGCCTCCGCCCCCTCCTTACCCCCTGTGAGCAGGCATGCGGGCTTCAGCAAGGTGGGGTCACTCCGCACCTCAATCCTCCACATCATGGGGCTCTCCATGTCAACTATTCGCGTGAGCAACTTTGCGATCCTGTCGGATCGCTCCACGGAGATCCTGACCGCCGTGGAGTGCCTGAAGCCAGGACAGAAGGCGTGCTCGGCAGACAGCGATGGCAACATCGGCTCCGGCAACAGGGGCAAGAACAACTTTGGTACCAACAACATTGGCAATTCTAATATTGGTGAGCAGAGAATGTGGAATGAACGCCATGCCATACATGCAAAGCCTCTGCAATCATTGGGTGGAACAGACTCATATGTCACAATGATGCTGTCCTTGCAGGCAACTTCAACATTGGCACCGCCAATTGGGGGAATAACAATGACGGCACGGGCAATCGCTGCTTCAACAAGACAGGAGATCGCAAGGTCTCCAATGACTGCAGTCTGCTTGAATTCCGGAAGCAGGCATGGGTTCTTGCCTTCCCGCCGCCTACTGTCAGGAAGTCATCCCCACCACCCAAGAAGGCACCCCCGCCGGCTGCCAAGCAATCACCCCCGCCGCCCTCCAAGAAGTCTCCACTGCCACCCGCCAAGATGTCGCCGGCCCCACCCACTAAGAAGTCTCCACCTCCATCTGCCAAGGTATCTCCACCCCCTCCCACAAAGAAGTCTCCACCCCCACCTGCCAAGACATTCCCACCTCCACTCGCCAAGAAGTCTCCACCCCCACATTCGAACCCGAGTTCTCCTCCACCCACCCCCTCTCCACTACCTACGCCCCCTCTTTCACTGAGCCTCCCTCCTCCACCAAGCCTCCCTCCATCACCGTCTCAACCCAGCCCTCCTCCATCGCCGCCTCCGCCATCTACCCCCAGCCCCCCTCCATCTCCACCGCCGCCCTCCGCCCCA